GGCTGTAAGTCAAGGCCTATCTGTATAATTATCATCATTTTTTGCTCTTTTTTTTTCTTTGCTTCAAACCTATTTCAAGGTCTGATCCCTAACGCTCTAACCAGAACATGTAATTTATTTATTTTTCTTTCTCCCATTTATGAGGCTTCATACCAGGGATGAACAATACATTTCTCCACATGATGAACCCTTAATTTGGCTCTCAACAAAGAGTCCAGACCCAATTCAAGCTAGATTAAGAACAAAGCCTTCAGCAAAGCAGTGCAAAGTAATCAAACATACCTCTGCTGTAAAGTATCTACTCTAGGCTTCTGTGTCCTAAAAATTGTGAATTAATGGATATTTGGCAGATCTTTTAGTGGCCTTTAGAAGCAACATATTGATATAACAGCTCCTCCATGAGAGTACAACAGTACCCATTTGTCTGAATGATATAGGGTCTCCTCCCTGAGCAGGGGGTTGGACTAGAAGATCTCCAAGGTTCCTTCCAATTCTGTTGTTCTGAATTGTGGAGCACAAGATTCTGAGTAAAATAAATTGGCATTCTTTAACTAAATTGTTCTAAATATTGCACTATGCTATTTAATATCCAATAAACCTTCTGATTCCAGAATGTGTAACTATAGATTTGGTAACTAAGGTTTAGTATAAAAACACCCATGCCCTAAGCTGTTGAAACCCAAAAATAAAAAGCAAATCCTGAAGGAGGAGAATGACAGAAAAGAAAAGAAATAACCCCCTAAATAGCTCTTAAACAAGATTATAAAATGAATTTATCTAAATACTACCTGCCTTATGCTTTGGAGCCAAAAGAAGAAAGCATATTAGTTTATTACAAAATCCCAAAATCAAAGGGATAAGTAGGACCTTGAAGGAAAAGACAATTTTGTTCCTAATCTTGCTGCATTCCTTTAAGACAGTGGTTCTCAACCTTTTTAATGCCGCAACCCCCAACCGGTCGTAAGTCGAGGACTACTCAACTGGTGCAGCACCGTTTGCAGAATGGGACTTTTGGCGAGCTCAGCAGGGCAGAGACAGCCTGGACAATTCCTATTGGCTTTTGAAAGCCAATAGAATTAGACTCTATTCAAGAGAGTCTATTCTATTGGCTTTCAAAAGCCAATAGAATAAAAGGGAATAGCACAGCTAAGGAAAAGGGGGGGGGGGGAAATGGCGGACTGCATTGTTTGGCGACTCCCGTGAAATGGTCGTTCGACCCCAAATGGGGTCCCGACCCACAGGTTGAGAACCACTGTTTTAAGATGATAGTATAATACTGTCATTCCTTCTTAAAGCACAAACCTTGAACATATATGCAAAAAGGGGGGGGGGAGGAAAAACTATTTAAAAATCTACTTTCACAAACATTGGGAAACATTTAATAACATGACCAAAAGTATCTACAGAAATAAATTTTAAAGATAAAACACAGTTGTTTTGAAGACAAAGGAATGTTTCTTTTCAGTGTTACTGACTACAAGATTAATTTCTGCTTTGCCGAGATGATTAATACTGATACAAAAATAATTTATTGACAAATAAATTGTTTAAAGTCAAAGTAATACATAAAACTATAAAAACATATAATCACTTCCCTAATTAAGAACTCTCTGAGGAGATTAAAAATAAACAAATTCAAATAGAAATTAAAAGTCAATTAGTCTTTCATGAATAATCTTGATACCCTATTTTACTCCCTTAACTTTGTTTCATTAACCTGTATGCATGCAGGTATTTTTCACTTCAGCATAATGCAGCTAGGGAATTTCTGTGGCTTTCAGTAAATGTTCGTAAACAATATTTGTGTCTCTTTAAAAAATGATTCCTCATTTACTTTTATCCTGTGAAAAGAGCGAATGTGTTAGTATGTTGGAAAAAACTGATCAGAAACAGGAAATACATTTCATTACTTCTTTGAGGTTATTTCTACATATATGTTAGATAAATGGGTAATGTTTAATTGCAGCAGTTGAATGATTTTGCTGCTCAGAAGAAATACTGAGATTTAGCTTGATAATTTTAAGAGCACTTTAGGTTTGTTTCTGTTTTCTTTTTGAAAAATTAAAATACTGAGTTTGTGCCCCCAAGGATTAAAAAAACAAAGCTCTTAGAGTTAAAATCAACATCTGAGGCACATTAAACAGCAGGAACAAATAACAGAATTGGAGGAATTAAAAAAAGATATTAAAGGGTATTCCAAATCCAGATCTATACTTACATTACAAAATAAATTTAAAAGGATCAAATTAACTTTACAAAAGCATTTCCTCTTCAGTTCTTCCCTCTTCTATATGCACCTTCTTACAAGTTATATATTTTGTTGGTGTTTCGCCTTAGAACAGCTAACATGACAGGTAATGACACCTCTTTGAGATAGGCAATTTCTTTCACTGTGTGCAGAGCTACTCCAGGATGAGAAAACCGGCTTACACTTTTTGGCACCTAGGAAAAAAAGGAGCATTAGACAAAGAACAGGTTTCGACTCTATACCCAAGCACCAACCAGAAAATAGGTTTAACAAGTAAAAAAAATGATTATATCTTGTTCTACATGTAGCCCTATTGATAAGGTATGTCTTTCTACTCCTGCAAACAAGCAGTTGTTTTGAGTAACAATGTGTAAAGCAACATGTAAAAAAAATCATGCAATTGCTAACAGATCTACATATCTCCTTTTACTGGCAGAAATATTGACATCTACCTTTCTTTATTTCTCCAAAAATGTTATGTTATCAATATATGAATGTCCAATTGATAGCAATTTCAGCCTCGGGTTTCATTTCTCTGACAGCAGGGGGTCCCCCTACCTCTGGGCTGCGGCCCACTACTGGGCCGAGAACTGTTCAGGACCAGGCTGCCCAAAATGGCGGGCGAGTGAGCACGCATCCCCACTTGTGTGAGCAGCGAGTAAGCACATGCAGATGTCCTCCACTTCCACAAATGGTGAGTGTGCATGCTCCCCACTCATGCAAATGGAGCTGTGCGCATGCACACACTTGTCTGAGTGGAACCATTCCCTCTCCCTCCATCTGCTGGTCCACAAAGGTTGGGGAAGTCTCTCTTACAGTATTCCAGGGGTCGGCAACCTTAAACACTCAAAGAGCCACTTGGACCCGTTTCCCAGAGAAAATAAAACACTGGGAGCTGCAAAATATGTTTGCGCGCATGCGCGCGCACAAGGGGGGGAGCTTGATTGAAGAGTTTAATTAAAAAGAAATAGAGGCTGCTGTGCATAAGTGTTCTCTCTCTCTCTCTCTCCCTCTCTTTGTCTCCCTCTCTCTCTCCCCCCCCCCCTCCGATCTTCTGCTCACCTGGCAAGCTGGCTTCACACTGTTCTCCGACAAGCTGACACACTGACACACGTTCTTATTGGGCTGGCTCTCTCCTCTGCCAGTCCTCCCCCCCCCCTCTGTGTGTGTGTGTGTGTGTGTGTGTGTGTGTGAGAGAGAGAGAGAGAGAGAGAGAGAGAGAGAGAGAGAGAGAGAGAGAGAGAGATGCTGCTTTCTGCTGAGATGCAGCAAAGGCAGGAGCCTCGCCCAATAAGAGAGAGAGAGAGAGAAGTGCAAGCGCCTCTCTCTGCAAATGGCGGAAGAGGCTGGGAGCTGCAGGAGAAGGCTCAAAGAGTCACACGCAGCTCTGGAGCCACGGGTTGCCGACCCATGCAGTATTCGGTTACCCTCAAGTTCTCGGCCTACAAAATTTCTCAATTTCTATCCTATATGCAGCACAGTATGGCTAAAACAATCACTACCACTAAGACCACAAAACAACTTCTTCTCATCCCATATTACCACTACTATTTCCAAGATATTAACCTCACCTTATTCCAACTGTAATTAATACAGCATGCTATTTGAGGAGCTGCAGTATAGGCACAATGTACTAATAAGTCAGTGCCAATGTATTAAGTTAAAGTAGTTTTGATGTCCAGAAACATGCTTTGGAATCCCTTCTAGCAGTAGGAGAATTTAACCTGTTTCTACTAAAAAAAAGTCTACAATAACGTCTTCATGTAACAGTTCTAAGGGTTTAGAACACATTAAATATTTAACAATATATTGCATATAGAAACATGGAATAAGGAATTAAAAATTTTGATATCTTTTACTGTGTCATATGACTATATTATTACTAATATATTGTTATATTGTTACTAAAATATTGTTATATTTATAATTTTATATCTATGTATCTTTTGGGAGAAAAATTGTTAAGAGATGCAATATTGCTTCATATGGTATGGTATATATTCTATGGCTGTCTTTGACAGATGTTATTTTACAGGAGCCGTGGTGGCATAATGGTTAGAATGCAGTAGTGCAGGCTTACTCTGCCCACTGTCAGGAGTTTGATCCTGACTGGCTCAAAGTTCACTCATCCTTCTGAGGTCAGTAAATGAGGACCCGGATTGTTGGGTTATTTGTAAATTGCTCAGTGCTGTAAAACACTATGGGGTAGTATATAAGTATAAATGCTATTGCTAATCTACTTTCGTTCTTCAAGATTCATTAATTTTAGGAAACATTTGCAGCAGTCCTCAGTTAACAACCATTCATACAATGAAGATGAACCAATGTAACTTGACTGGTCCCCTAAAGTTATGGTTGTTGCAGAGCTTCCATGACTACATAGTCAAAATCTGGGTGCTAGGCAGCCTGCTCAGACTTACAACCACAGGAGCACTTCTCCCATTTGCCTATTTCCCCCCATCTCTGCCCTGCACAGCATCACTCCTCAGCAGTTTTTACTGGATATGGAAAGCTTTGAACTAATGGAATATTTTTGCGCCTGTAATATTGTAATATCTTTGTTATCAATATTTTGTTACGGTTTTCCAAGTATTTTATTACAAATCAAGAGGAAAAATGTCAGCTTTTACACATTTTAAAATCTCATTTCCTATGTTAACTCAGTATAAACAGTGAAAGATAATGGATATATTTTCTAAAAACAATCTTACCTGCCGAGGAAGGAAATAAGGTGCATCTGTTTCTACCACTATTCTACTTAATGGGATTTTTCGAACAGATTCTCTAGCCTCATTTGCTGATGGGTAAGACAGCAACGCAGTGAATCCAACAGTCAGATTTGGAAAGTAGTCTAAAAGTGGTTCAATGACACTATATCTGCCGGTGAAACAATGTCTATGAAGGGATCAAAAATAATGGTCATCCCAGTTCAGATGAATAACCAGTAACAAGAAAACATTAAGGAAGGTCATATTAAAGACTTGACAAAACAGTTATGTAGCATGGTAATTGCTATTTCAGTAATTCTTTTTTTGTATGAAAACTGTGGGATTCGTTGTCTAGCTGAAATAAAATTCACAAGCCAAAACTTCCAAGAGAAAACAATGGTAATTTATTTGTACTCCTTGCAAAGGGGGTGCTCCTTGTGCATGCAAGGACACAGTGGACACACACCAAATCTACAATATTCATTCTTTATATTCTCCATTGCCATTACAAATTCACCTCTCACCTCTTCTTCATTGGCTTAGTAATCATACTGTAATCATGTTGTCACAACCTATAAAAAGCTCCTAAAGGGAATACACTACTCAAATTTTATCGCCCCCTTCTCTTATTTACAAATTACCTTTTACGGTTGTTAGTTCCTAGGGCAGGGATAGGCAACCGTGCCTCTTTTATGACTCGTGGGCTTCAACTCCCAGAATTCCTGAGCCAGCTGGCTCAGGAATTCTGGGAGTTGAAGTCCACGAGTCATAAAGGAGCCAAGGTTGCCTACCCCTGTCCTAGGGGTTGTCTCTAAAGTTGCTATCGTATCAGTAGATTCTGGTTAAGACTAGTTTTCAGCGTAGCAGAGACCTTCCTAGATACAATTCTCAAGCTTCAAGCTAGGCTCATGAGTTTAAAATATATATAATGTATTTGCTTCACAGGCTAGCATGTCTTCTCACAGTCTGTAAAAACAATGAATTCTTTTTCCCCACAATCCCTCCTTTTTCTTTTCACTGGCCCTACTTTCTCTAACTCTGTCTCCTCACCTATAGTGAATACTGGTTTTTCCACTGTAGGAGTTAAACTTAACATTAAACGTTCAGTTCCTTCTGCAGCTGCCACCTTGATTTCAGCTAAATTATTGCCACAGGCTTCAAAAGAATTTCCTTTCTGATGCCCTTCTACATGTACTATCGCAATCTCTTCAGGCAACATCAAATTGTCCAACATCTGTGTAATCAGTTCTCCATGAACTAAATCCTTCCCTTTGCTATTAATCAACCCTCGTTCTTCCCAAATCTTTCCAAAAGTGTGCACTATTCCAAAAGCATACTTTGAAACAGTGTATACAGTCCCTCTCTGTTTTTCCAACAATTTTAAAGCTTGATTTTATGCATACAATTCACAAGTCTGTGCAGACCAACTTAAAGGCAACTTTCCTACTTCTATCAAAATTTCTTCTCTTCCTTCTACTATTGCATATCCATTTCTTCTCTTCCCTTCTACCACTCTGGAGGACCCATCTATAAACAAATTAGCACTTTCTCCTAGAGCAACATCTGTTAAGTCAGGTCTAAATCTTGTCTGTAATTCAATTACTTCAATACAATAATGTTCAATATCAGTTCCTTCTTCTAACTTAAAAATTGAGTAGATTCAAACTAACATCAGTAGTCAATATAGATCATTTTGTTCCATAAGCATACTCTCATATTTTAAAATCCTCGAATCTTGTCAGCCATCGGCTGGCTTTCTGGTTCAAAATTGCCCTCACTTGATGGGGGGGGGGGTACTAACCACCAAACTCCCCCAAACGTCAGTTTTCTGCTCTTCTTTACTAACACTGCTGTGACCGCCACCACTTGAACACAATCTGGCCATCCTCAGCAGACAGGATCTAACATTTTTGACAAAAATGCCACTGGCTGCCTCTTTCCTCCCCACTTCTGGGTCAAAGCCCCCAAAGCTATTCCTTCAATTTTCTCAGGTGTTATTCTTCTACTTTTTTCACTAATCAATAAATCAGTGTGTCCTGCACACATACATAAAGACTTAAAAAAATAAAGCAAAAAAAAAGCAACTTCACAAAACAAACAAGCTTAATGAGGTATTCTGAGTTACTAAAATATATGTGGTTATGCAAATAAGCCACTAGCCATTGCAAAGGCTGAAACTATGCATCAAATTTTTCCAGTATTTAACAATACAATTATCTCTACCACCTAAAAGAATGCAAGCAAAAGCTACAAAGGTTAGATTTCACATCATCCCCCTTTCTCTGTCTCTCAGACCAGAGCTCAGTAGAAAGTAAGCAGAGAAAAAAAATGTTGAAAGAATCAGAAAGAAACAGTGCCCCTCCTTTTCTGCCTCTCTTGCTCTTCCAAAGCAGAGAGAGAGAAAAAAAAATAACAGCTGGCAACAGAGAAGGCAGAATTTTTAAAAAAAAACCTGCACACACACACACACACACACACACACACACACTATCTCCACACTCCTCTAACAAAAATAAACTATTTTTCTTTTCCTTAACTACAAATGTATTGCCTGGGATCCAACAAGCATATATTTTTAGTGCTTGACATAGCCAATTTTCAAAACTTCCATATTTTGGCCAAAATACACTAGTGCCTTTAATAGGATTTCTTGGCCACTCAAAACAAAAATATTGAATCATTCTTTGGTTTTAGTCCTGGTTTTACAACACTGCACCCCATGGACTATCTGGCAGAATGTTCAGAGGAGATCCCACCTCCCCTCCATGGCACTTCTTATATATCCCAACCGCCAAGGTAATACTTAAGTCCAAATTTTCTTACCTTGGTCTGTGCACAGAGGTGTCCGGTTGCAGCGCTTCAGTGCCCACTGTATAATCCCCCAGGACCTCCCCCTTATGATTGCTTTCTCTTAACTTCCGTTCCGGGTTCCACAGGCACACAGGACTCACCAATCATCCACAACAAGGACCACTGAACTCAATGGGACATGTCTTCCCAATTGGTGTTTGCTCAGTGATTCCTGCCGCTGTCTGGAGAATCCCGGGAGAGCCCCCAAGTTGTGGGATTCGTTGTCTAGTTGCAATAACATTTACAAGCCAAAACTTCCAAGAGAAAACAATGATAATTTATTTGTACTCCTTTGCAAAGGGGTGCTCCTTGTGCATGCAAACACACAGTGGACACACACCAAATCTACAATATTCATTCTTTATATTCTCCATTGCCATTACAAATTTACCTCCCACCTTTATTGGCTTAGTAATCATACTGTAATCATGTTGTCACAACCTATCCAAAGCTCCTAAAGGGAATACATTATCTCCGCCCCTGATTACATCTCCCACTACTCAAATTTTATCGCCCCCTTCTCTTATTTACAAATTACCTTTTATGGTTGTTAGTTCCTAGGGGTTGTCTCTAAAGTTGCTATCGTATCAGTAGATTCTGGTTAGGACCAGTTTTCAGGATAGCAGAGACCTTCTTAGATACAATTCTCAAGCTTCAAGCTAGGCTCATAAGTTTAAAATATATACAATGTATTTGCTTCACAGGCTAGCATGTCTTTTCAGTTCTGTTTTCCCACAAAACCTTATGTCAAAATTATCTTGAATGGAAACAATTATTTATGGAATCTTACTTCAATGAAATTGAATTCTTTCATTCTGATTATGGTTTCATTTTCAGCTTTGATTTGTGAGTTAGAAGAGTCCATAGGAAAAAATTATATTGCGTAGCTGTTCATAAATCTAAGGTCTTAGCAACTGAAATCTTTTAAGGTTCTAGAATTTTTTCCAAGGTGTCATTATCTACATTTCATGATAATATTCTAATCAGGCAGACTATTGATCTCTTCAAGATTCAATTACTGTTTTTTTAAATAAAAGGAACGGTGCAACTTAAGAACACAGTACAATTACCTGTGTATTTTGTAGTCTTTTGGCACACATTTTTTCATGATTTCTAACAGATCAGCATCAGCATCTCTGCAGTGTATGACCAATGGCTTCTTTAAGGAAACAGCTAGATTCAGTTGCCTCTCAAAAACCTGAAGCAAGTAAAAAGCAGCACACCTTCAAAGGCCATTACAACTGCCCTGAGAACAAAAGTAAGACATGGGGGAAATATGCTAGCATTAAGCACAGCTTTTTATAATGTAACCAAACCAAAGCACATTATGAATACTCAAATACAAGAAATACTGGACTGTTTTCAGTTATTTATCACTTTTACCGTTTTAGGACAGCATTGCATATATTCCTTTGGAAACAGCACTTCACAATGGTTCAACAATCCATTCTGGAGTTTAAAAAAAGATTCTGAATTTGTCACAAGGATTCAACAATCTACCCCTGAGTAAAAAAGATTCTGAATTTGTAATGTTCTGACATTCAAATGTAAAGTCAGAACATTACAAATTCAGAAGCTCTTTTGCTCTGCGGTTCTTTGAGCTGTAACTGGGGTCATTTAAGTTCTGAATATTGTTGGATACTTCCAGCAAGACCAAAACAGTTGCTTTGAATTCGAAGAAGAGCAACTTGATTTCAAAATTTGGCATTTGAGTTCAAAACTTTTCAGACACTTCTGGAATCCACCACTCGTTTATCAAAACCATCATCTTTAATGGTCTGACGACATATTTTACCTAAAGCCAGTTAATCAACGCAATTACTGTTTAGTACTATAGAATTATAAAATATTTTAACACAAATTTTAATATAAAAACTTACCTTATGCTGCTTTGAAATTTCTGTATTACATTTATGAGAGTAATCCAGTCCTATTTCGCCAAAGGCAATCGCTTTGGGGTGTCTCATTGCCTGCAAAAGATTTCTTTCATGAACTTCTGTGTAATAACGAGCGAAGTGTGGATGGCAGCCAAATGCCCCCCAAACCATGTCTTCTTCTAATAAATCTTCCCATAAGTTGTTTTTTAAAGTACGAGGGTCACAAAAGTCAGCTATACAGCCCTGAAATTCTTTAGGAAAAGTGCTACTATGCATTTTCCTAAATTCAGAAAAAGTGCCTCCAAAACCTGTTTTTGAATATAACATGTCCAAATGGCAGTGTGTGTCAATAAACCCTTCTTCTAAATATCTGGGCAATCTCCTTGGCAAATCCTGGTTTACACAATTATTAATAAAAGAATCTGACTTGCGTGATGAAGAGAAGATAGGAATATATGTTCCTATTTTCATACTCTGGTGCCTTTTTTTCTCTTTATAGTCCAATAACGAACCATGTGACCACTCTCTCTCTTGCATACTTTGCACTGAAGGTTTTTTATCCTTTGATGTATTTATTGGGCTTTCTAAAGAAATATCACAGAGATTATTGGAATACGAAGTGTTTTCAGTGGGACTTGAAAAAGAATGTGTTGGCTTTGGACTGCTTGTCCAGTATTTTGCATAATCATTCATTTTCTGACTGTATAAATGAGGAGGATACATCACAAATTCCGTTGTTGACAATGACATTTCCATTGGTTCTGAAAGATTGTGGTTAGGGATGGAATCTTCTTGTGAAAAAGTAACCAGTGGTCCTCCATCTTCTGTGTCAGACAAATTATTTTCAGCTGACAGTTCTTTCTTGGGCTCCATACACTGAAAAAAAAAAGGGGGGGGCGGAGAATCAATTTAACATGAGCATAAAAATGATATTTATTCAGAAGTCCATTTTTTTCTATAACAATATTTAAAATGACAGCGATGCCACTTCTAGTGCAGTATATCCAATTGACCAGACTGTCCCTAACATTTCCAACATGTCCCAGTGCAACACAAACTACCAGCAGGCCAATACAATCTTCCCATTGCCCTCCCTTCCCTCTCTCACCTGAACTGCTGATATACACTAAGCATCTACAACCAGCTGTTCCAAGCAGTTTATTTTGAACACTACTCTATTAGGCATGCCACAGTTCTATAAGGAAGATATGACTATTATCATAGTAAAAAAAGGAGTTAAAACTGCTGTAGTAAAGAAATAAAAAAAATCACATCTAAAGCCAGATGATTTATGTCATTCAGCAAATAATTAGAAGTAATATGATTCATTGAGTGTAATTCATTCTGAGTAATTTAGGTCTCCTAAGGACATCTGACTAAAATATATGTATTCTTTTTTTTTTTAATTGAAATTTTTCAAAAGTTTTACAAATAAGAATCCACCCCCCCCTCCCCAACCACCCCACCCCCCCCCGACTTCCCAGAACTGAATATAGGATTATTTAACAAATATTTTAAAAATAACATTTGCAATTTATAAAATAATTAATAATAATAATAAAAATCACAGTAATAATATATATAATAATAATATACATAACATAAACTTTAAAATAAATAATATATACTAAAAAAGAAAAAAAAGAAATAAGAAAAGAAGAGAGAGAGAGAAAGAAGAAAGAAGAAAGTAGACGAAGAATAAAGCATATATATATAAAAAAAAAAATATATATGAATAATAATACGTAAAAAATGTATATATATAAAAAAGAAAAAGAAGAAAGAAAGAAAGAAAAAACAATCATTACAAATTATAAAAAGGCTAAATAATATTTTTCCATATCCAAATTATGTTGTATAAAATTTATCCATTTTTCCCATACCGCAAAAAATTTTTCTTGAGATTGCTCCTTTAAGAAAGCCGAAATCTTTGCCATTTCTGCCAAATACGAAACTTTATGAAACCATTCTTGTAAAGTAGGCAAAGATTCCTTCTTCCAATATTGTCCTATTAACAACCTAGCGGCTGTAATAAAATATATGTATTCTTAATAACTTGTTATCAGAAATTCTTAAAAATCATGCAATTTGAATACCCCACAGAAAAGTTAATATAGTCTCAAAATGAAGCTAATTTGTGAATGTTTGTCAAATATAGAAATAACATTTCAGTAAAAAATATAGATCTTCTGGGTATCTGGAATCATATTTCCGTCTACCACTTAAATCTCCCACAATGGTGCCATTTCTAACATAATTAAAATCCCTAAATATTTTGTCAATTAAAGCGGCTCTCTTGATACTTAAGTCTATTATTCTTGCCCTACCTATGCAATAATGAAAATCTGAAGATATTTTAGCACATTTCCAGACTAAGTTGTAAATGTGTTTATATTCAGTTTAGGTTTCTTAGGTTTGATCAAAATAGTGACAATACTATTTAATAATTATGTTTTTTTTAGAAATAACATTCTAATAGGTTAATATTTCACCTTTTGATCTGTTTCCGAATCATCCATAAACACTGATTGAGAGGATTCAACAGTAACAGTCGTCTGGAAATTCACAAACTTCTCTGTGGCATCACTTTGTGTATTAGATGAAGTGGAGGAAATGAATTTGTCTTTTGCTATGTTTTTTTGTTTTGCAGAAGTACTAGCGCCTTTTATAAGAGCTTTCTGATTGTTGCTATTCTGCTTGGTCTCTTCAGCTTCATATTTTGAATTTTCAGATATGCTTCTCAAATGGGTTTCTGATTTCCAATATTTTTTTTTACTTTGGCTGGCAAAAATATTCCCATCAGAGGTTTTACTTAGCTGTTTAGAAGAGACTTGCCTATCTTTTTGTTCTCCAATTTGTGAACAGCTAGACATGCTTTTAAATTTGTGCTCTGAGTGGCAATTTTCTTTCCAAGTTTTACTCTGCCCAACATCTATTTTTTCTTTTACTGAAACCTGTGAGTCCTCTGATCCCTGATAAAGTTCTACTTCATCTTCATAACTTGATTCTATGTGAACATATTTGGAAGTAACCATTGGTTTGGAAAATTCTCTTGTATTACCCTTAGTTTTATTTTCTTTTTTTGTAGAAGCTTTTTCAACACTGGAATCTTCTTGCACATCAAGTTCATCCTCAAGTCTTGACAGTCGATGACTTTGCTTTGATCTAACCAACCGTTTGGAAGGTTCTCTTATGCTATACTTAGAATTTTTGTCTTCTGTTTCTTTAACAGCCTTTTTAAAGCTGGAAACCTGTTGAAATTCCAATTCATATTCACATTTTGATTGTTTATGTCTATGTTTTGAACCATGTCTTGGTTTGGAAACTTCTTTAACACTATACACAGTTTTATTATTTGTTTTTGTAACAGTTTTCTCAGTGTTGGGATCCTTCTGAAAATCTGTTTCACGTTCTGGTCTTGATACTATAGAAATTAGTGTTAAACCAGCTGGTTTAGAAATCTCTTTTGTACTGTACTTCAAAGTTTTATTTTCTTTTTTTGTAGTAGCTTTTTTGAAGTTGGAATCCTGTTGAAGTTCTGATTTTTTTCCAAATGGCAATTCTGCAGAGTTTTCTGATTTCGAAGAAACCTTCTGAATGTTGGATTCTTGTTCTTTTTCTTCTGAACTTGACATTACAGATACATGTCTTGAACTGCCATCTGACCAACATGATTCTTTATTGCCTTGCTTAACAGAAATATTAATACGTTCCTTTGGTACAATTTTCAAACAACGTGATTTGTTTCCAGTCTGCTGCTCTCTAATTTCTGATACTACTGAAAATTGTCTCAGGTTGTTAATTGATCCAAGTTCCTCTTTTTTAGAAGGGCTTTCCTTATGATTTCCATTTAGAGATGAAAATTTTCTTCGGGCTTGCAATTGTCCCCCAAATATACTCAGCAGAGCTTTATGATATATTAATCGAGATCCCTCATTCTGATCTTGGCCTTTTATTCTTTTCCGGCCACATTCAGCCCGCTTTTCTTTTAAAGCACTTTTTCTTTCAGGGACTGCTGCAATGTTTATTCTTGTATCACTGCAATCTTCTTGCTTGATCTAAATAGTAAAGAGTAAGGTAAGCTTAATAAATTGTAAGTAAAAGCCCACTCACAAAACTATTCAGCCCACACTAGGTTAAGTAGCAATAGTCATGTTCATCAGCAATATGAAGATTTGAAGGAATTCTTGATTACAGGCCATAAATTATATGGTGAAACAAAAATGCTTTTTCCTCTTACTTGGCTCCTTACACCATCAGGACTAATCCTGCCAGAATTTGAAACTTGCAGTGTCATCAGGGCTCCTGGCAATATACTCTTAAAACCAAAACTGCAGGTCAACGTTTGTTCTTATGTTTATAATTACTTACTACAAGGGCTGTAACCAGAACAAAATCATTTAGATGATAACATAAGCTATCATACTTTAGTTAAGTTAAATGTTTCTGCTGGTTGGAACAAAATTACTAGAAGTGTGAACTCATAAAAAAATAATTTGATATTTATTAAAGACTGTAGGAAAACAAAAAAAATATCCAGGTTATATAATTAAAAAAATATTTTTGAAGGCTAAATGAGAGAGGGCACCATAACTGATATTAATTACAAATACTTCATAAATTTACAAAACAAAAAACTAATGACTGGATTAAAAAATTGAATTATTCTCCAAAGGAAATGAAGGTTATCAGAATACAGCATAATATATTTTAAGTCAAATACAGGATTTGGAGGCCATTCATCATTAAACCCTTACAAAGCAACACTGTATGACAAACAACTGCAAAGTAATAAAAACATCTAAGACTCAACAGCAATCTATATTCTAATTCCCTTTTACTCAGCAGTTTTGGCTGCTACTTACATACCTTCAGTTTCACAGATTCCTGAGAGGAAAATGCCACATTTTTCGTAGGCATCTTGGAAGCAGCCGGCTTTGTAAGAAAGCTGAAGACAGGAGCGTCTTGCCCACCGCTGATGTCATCATCCACTTCAAATTCATCAGAGGAAGAAGCCTCGGCAGCGAATGAAGTGCGGGAGAATTCTCTGCACGAAGACGCCGAGGCGAAGACTCGAGGCTTCCCCAAGGCAGCCGCCCCGCTGCAGCCGGGACTCGAGCGAGCAGGCCGGGCCGGCGCTTCGGTGCTCTTGCAGAATTTCGCAGGTGAGCTCCCAGCTAAGCCGTCCCATTCGATTTTGCGTCTCCTGCTCGGCTGCATCGGGGCTAACATTATCTAGACAAGGGAAGGGAGGGAAGGGGGAAAAAAAGCAAGTTTTAATGCATTTCCGCTTGGCTGGTGCAGCCGTTTTATTTAAAAACAGGCTCGCATGAGCCGAAAAGGCAAATAAAGGAACGTTGGAGAATACTTCGCCAAGGTTCTCCCCACCTTTATACAGGCGCGCTCAGAGAAACGACCGCCAACAAAAGCCATCTTTAAAGCCAAAATGTGGGAAAAGGGACGAGGATCTGCTCAGCCGCACGCGACGGCCCTCCCCCGGCCCCATCTCCCAGGGCACCAGGCGCACCCACCCTCCAGCCTCCTCCGGCGAAAACAGCAACGCCCGGGAAGGTAGACAGGCTGAGGGCCAAACACCCCTACCCGCTCTGCCCGGGGAAGCCCGAAAGGGTACTTCGCAACGAGTCCGAAAGGAAAAGAGGCGGGTCACAGAACCTTCTTGCAGGCCTTCGGGACGGCCTCCCCCGCCGTTAAGCTGTGCCGCTCATTGGTGGATTCCAGCCGCCTCCGCTGCCAGCCAGCCAGCCCCCTTTGGCGACTCGCCCGCCTGGATACCTTCTCGCGCCCTCCGCCCGCCCCGCGCGCTATCCCTGCCCCCCCCCGTTCTCGCGCAACATCTGGGGAAGCGCCTCCCCAAAAATGTCGGGGGGAAGGAAAGAGGAGACTGAGCGAAGGGGAGTCGGAAGCCGCGAAACGGCCTTTCCGGAAATGGCTTCTTGGAAAGTGAAAGTAACCAGTAGTTTTAAAAAGAGGAATGGGCGTGAAGCTTTCTGCTGGCGTCACTTTGAGAGGTCAGGGTGCCGGGTGCTTTTGCTGTTCTCCCTTCAAGGAACCGTGCGTGACTTAAGGGGACCAACGAGTGGGTTTAAAATAAGGTTAACTTGCTATGAGAAAGGCTGTATTTGCACAATGTGCTAAGATAAAATCAGTAGGAACCCAGCCCTCAAAAAATCATAAGGAATGTATGTTCAGTATAGTACTTAGCGTTTCTACTTTTGTTCAGGATGTTTCACACGAAAAAGGAACTATTTAGACCCATCTTCCTTCTTCATAAATGTCCTGTCCAGCAAACTTCTTTGCTCTAGCTAACTTGCATTTGCTGCGAGTACAGATAATAAATAACAGGGGTCCTCTTTCTCCTTTAAGAATGTCCATGTAATAATAATATGACATCACAGTACAGTATTGTGCAGAGTACAGTATCGGGGCTACAGTGTTAGAACAACAGAAGAAAAAGATTTAGGTGTGCTCATAGCAGATGATTGCAAATGAGTAAACAATGTGGCCAGGCAACTGAAGGTCTGAGATGCATCACTAGAGGGATGACCAGCAGGAAAAAGGAGGTCCTAATCCCGCTATATAAGGCTTTAGTCAGACCCCATTTGGAATACTGTGTCCAGTTCTGGAGATCTCACTTTAAAAAAAAATATTGATAAGATAGAGCGAATCCACACATGGGCAACAAAAATGGTACAAGGTCTGAGGGACAACATAACAAGAAATATTGAAGTGAACTGAATATGTGCAATCTGGAGGACAGAAGGTAAGGGGAGGGCATGATTAAAATCTTTAAATATATTAAGGTGTGAATAAGGTCCTAGAAGGCATATTTTCAATATTAAGCAAAAATCAGGAGCACGGGGAATAACTTCAAACTGACAGGAAGGTTAAAAGTAATGTTAGAAAGCATTATCTCACAAAAAGAGTCATGGAAGCTTGAAACCAACTTCCAGCAGAGGTAGTGGGTCAATCTTCAGAAACTGAGTTTAAAAATGCTTGGGACAAACGTGTCTATCATCCAACAAAAAATTAAATAAAAATAATAAATTAAAAACAAACAAAAAAACTCAATGGATAAGCCCAATGGATCACTGGCTGTTTTTCTATCATCAATTTTCTATGTTTCTATGTGCATTCTTCCTTCATCCTGGTGTTGCCTCTATGTCCTCAATACCACTAAATGTAGCTCAGGGATATCCAACTTTTGGAACTTTTAAGACTTGTGGATTTCAATTCACAGTACACAGATGGTATAGATGCCCAGTATGGACACTCCTCCAGTAGGCTGAAGGAAAGAACAACACTGCACTCCAAATTTGGAGAAAAAGGAGAAATTCTCTTCTTTCTCTTCTTCCAAATACTATTTCTCTATTTCTGTAATGTCCTTCTCTACTGAAAGCTCTTCTGCCTTCCTCAATGAATTAGGACTAAAGATGACTCCAGCTGGCACTGAGATAAGAGGAATTTCCACAGTATTTATTTCAGGTCTCTGATAAAGGGAACAGAAGAAGCAATGACAGGTTACTTTGCAAGAAACAGCTACAAATATCATTGTGCTATATATTTGAATGTAATCATTTAGGGTAAGTGGAAGCCATATAGAACAGTTTTTGAGACATTTTGCTCTCAAAACCTCTCCCCATTTTTAAAAATTATGGAGGACTCCAAAAAAAGCTTTTGCTTAAATGGGTCATACATATTCATCACTATTTACTATATTAAAAATTAAAACTGGACAAATTTATACAATATTTATTAAATCATCTAAAAATTATATTAATGCATTGGATAGTAACAAATATTTTTAGCAAAATATTTTTAACAAAAATAAGTAAAACATGACAAAAATAAGTAAAACATGACATTACATTTTTTCCAAATATTTTTAATATCTGGCAAATTTTGAGTTCCTGGACTCCAGAGAGGGTGTTAGGAGAATTCCCTAGGGTCCTCAGACCATACTTTAAGAAACTCTGATACAGAAGAATAAGTAATAGTAGATTAGTAATATGTTTTTGATGCTTCTGCAACTAGTTTTAAAAACCTCTGAATTATTATTACATCAATTTAATAAATTATGTTATATTTGTTAAATTTATATACTGCCTATCTCACTGTGAAGCAACTCTTATAATAAAATTTCTTAAATAAAAATAAGAGATACAATAAATAATCCTAAGTAAATACCAGTTCTAGATTATATTACACACCACAATCCTACAGAAGGGTTAGCATTAGACTATCACCTATTTCCTCCACAAGGTAGGATCAGCCTGTTTCAGAGTATCAGTGCTGTAACAGAAATCTGTTCTGCTTTCACCTTCCTTTGCCTCACAAAACAGTGGGACCTTATCCTTTAAGGACCTCTACTGTCAACTCTAGCTGGAATAGACCATCCTGAAGATACCTTGTGCCGATCTTTATAATTGCATTCAGAAAAGTATTTTCAGTCTTCATTACTTAAATGGATGAAAGTCTACTATATTGTTGTGATTCCTCGCCAGCCAGTGGATCCGGCAGCGGAGTCTGAGGAATCAGATGGGGAGGAGGGGCCTGGAGTGACATTAGAGTCAGAGGAAAGCTCTGAGGAGCTCCAAGACTTACAGTTGGATGAAGAGCCTAGCCCCTCTACTCATGCTCAGGCTGAGACACAATTGTACTGGGAGCTTCAGTTGGACAGTGATGAAGAACAGTTGGGACAAATCCAGGATGCACGGACGTGCAGGCAAGAGAACCGAGTAGGACGGAGGAATGCAATGGGGAGGCTCCAAAGGCAAAGGAGAAGGCATTAGGAAGCCACGCCTTGGCTGAATTATAAAAGGGAAGGTGTGGGAGGTGCTGGTTGCCGAAGGCAACCGTTCGTGTTGAGGAAATAGTTTCTGTGGACTGTGTTTGTTTGCCTTGGACATTGACTCAGGTCTGTGAGAATAAAAGGGGTTGGTTTTTTCTTGCGGTTCCTGCCTATTTCTTGGAAAGGGGTTTCTCCTTGTGAGCATAATAAGGACAGAACACCACCAAAGAGCTCCAATATTCATAGAATTTGTGAATTTATTCATGACAAAAACTATTCAAGCCAGTGTCAGGAGAGTCCATCTTACTACTCAGTCATCCCCAAATTCTCCAAATATGGAAGTGAAGTTGTAGTATTTTATATTCTGCAAAAACCTCAAAAGTAATAGAAAACCTATTAAATAGCCATCCAGTTTTGTCTGCAACAAAATTGGTCTGCTTAAGGTCAAATTAAGGCCTGTTTAATTTTCAATATGCACTAAGTCTAAGATATTAACCAGGGTACAGAATAATAGGAGCTGAATTCTGAAATTACCAAAGCTAGATTATATGAAACCTTAGTGGTGTTGTGCTTGATTGTTCTAAATTATATATTTTCACTTAGAAAAGAATTTTGTAATGGGACAAAAAAAGTTGTTTCTATTACTCAGAAAATGGGAAAATTTCTAGAATTTTTGTCAGGGATTTTATGAAGGCCGTCTATGCCTACAAGAGAATCTACATGGAAGGGGGAAAATGGCCTATCCTGACTTTGGGAAGTATTTCAACAGCAGGAGAATTTTCTAAGCTGACTGAATCATCCACATAGCAGGAAAAAAACCATATAATTTTACCCTCATCTGGTATACAGATGTATATTACCTTCCAATTGTAAAATTCCTTTTATTATGATTAAATGTTCTACAGTGCTTATCAGTACATTGAGCACTATCTAATGAACTCATATATTAAGGACAACCAGATAAAACTTATCATTGTTCCTTCACTTAATATTTTTTACTGGAATCTGCTCATAATGGTTTTTCTCAAGCAGTAAGTCCTTAAATAGCATGAGTCAGTATTTTAAAAATCATAGAAAAATTGTAAGGAGACTTAGTGATTATCTAATTAAATACCATCTACAAAATAAGAAAAATACATTTGTTTTCAGAGAATATACCAACTGTATACCAAGTTGCAACTGATGGATGCTGCTCCTTTATATGTTTTTTCTTTTGCTTAAGGAAGTATTTTGGCTAGATCAACAAAATAATTTCAACCAGAACAGGAAAATAAGAGAAATCCATATACAAATGGATTTGAAAAATGTTTTCTCATTATGTAACATCAATGTAGCTTTCTTGTATATATAACAAGTATAACAGTACTATAAAAATCCATTTTGCTGGTGAAGAAATGCTCCATCTTCTGAAGTCATAACTGATAGAAATGTATTTATATTGAAGATTCAAAGAGGTCATAACTGTTTATCTTATTTTCATCATATAATGCTATTTTTTCCATTAGCTGCTTCTTTTTATCATTGATGTTTATTTCTTTCATTAAAGCTGAAATAAAAGACAAAGTAATATCACTGGCCTAAATAATTAATATACAAGCTTCATCTCCCATTTCATTGAGAACTTTTATGGAATGCTTTTCAACACAACTTCTAACAGATTAACAATTCATCAGAAAAAGAGTGGCCTTAGTTTGCTTTTGAAAGCCAAATCCTGCAAAAGTAAAGGGAAACCCCTATGTGAAAAATTCCAGTGTTTGAGCACCACCAGGGAAAAAAAACTCCAGATCAAGGATTCCGCAGAAATCTTATGGTTTGTGTAGGTGCAAATCCAGAGCATTTGGGAGTCACAACATTTAAAATAGTAAAATCAGATTTAATAGTTTAAATCTGCATGGTATAATGATAAGGTACTGAAGTAGGGACTGGTGAGACCTAAGTTAAAGTCTACATTAAGCTATAGAAATTGACTTGAGTGACTTTACTTCAGTCCTTTTCTCTTAACTTAACCTGACATGTAAGGTTACTATTGCAGAGCTAAAATGAGTCAAAATCTCTCAATTTATAGGAAAGAGAATATAATCCCAATGAACAGACCTAGAAACCAACCAATTAGTCAAACAGTTATAGAATTAGCAGTATATGTTCTGTATGGACAGCTCTGATCAAGATTCTGTCAGGCATACTCCAATATTTCAAACCACTTCCAAAATTTAATCTAGAGGTCATCAGTGCAAGCATCATCATTAAATAATGCAACTAGCCAAAGTGGTAAAATACATTATTGTATCTGGCATATGAGCATCCAGCACCATGTAGGTTTTTAAATACGAGTTCTATCCTATCAGCACAAGAATAAATATATATTGGAGTGAATATTTTCCCAGTAAACAGTACTGACTTCCATTTACTTCACCTTATTTACCCTTTTTGATTTACTGCTGATTTCAGGCATTGTTTCAGACTCTCCTCAATTGAACCTGAGGAGAAACTGTTGGTATGTCATTGTTATTTCTATGATGCTATATCAAACTTTCCACAGTATCTTAATTTCTACCAACTTCAAAGAATATTTAAAGATTACCTTTTACCTTGTGAGGAACAAGCAGTGCCATCATTTGTTCCCTGCTCTTGATTTGTTCTGTTGGAGTCTGTACTTTTTGCTGTGAACATCAGAGGCTTAGTGCAAGAAACATTTTCTAACTCCAGACTGTGTTTGGTTGGTGTACAGCAAGAAGCGTGTTCTACAGGTTCCCATGAAAAGTTACAGGATTCATCAGATTCACACGGTATCCGTAAATTCTGCTCAGAGTATGTTTCAGGAGGCAAAACTTTTATACAAGGTGGTAATGTCGTGGCACAGTTTAAAGATCCAGAATTGGCAGAGCCCTCGTGGCTATGACCATAGAAATCAACATTGAAGGGACTAGCTGGTTCATCATTGGTTTCTTCTGGAATATTGATGAAGAGTCCAAGATTTCTGCTTCTTTCTGACATGTTCTGAGATCTTGTTTGACGATCTGCAATTTCTATCATTTCACTCACCTGTTTTTGACAAGAATGTTAAATAGATTTCTACTTTCTTCATTAAATAAAACAATTTCCTTATTTCCATGTTTTCTTACTTACTCTTATATTAATAAAATAAAGAAAATAAAAGGACTATATAGCAAGGGCATCACCATTAGTAAGCTGATTAAGTTTACCTCTATTGTGTTTGCTTTCTTTTTCCGCAGGCAAATGCAGGCAGACGTGGCCAAGCATAAAGAGACTGTTTCTGTCAAACAAACAGTTTGCTTATCTTGGTATTTATGACATATTTGTATGGCAGCAAGATTTTCAAAGTTTTTCTCCTTAGTACAAGACAATTCTTTTGCGATTCTGAGTTCTTCAAGCAAAGCATCCTTCTGTTGAAGAAAAGGTTGGAAGAATGCAGATGATGATATTTCTCTGTCCTTTAAAGAATTATTAATTTTTTGGTTCACTTACATAAAGAAGCTGAAAGTAATTGTCACGTTTTCTACTTATAGTATATTACTAAATAGTTCCTGAAATTTTAACAGGCCAAAATGGTGTATCATAGGGCAACAGTTTTTGAGGAAAGGTACCGTATATGCCGGCGTATAAGGCGACTTCCGCGAGCGCTGAAATCGGCGCCAAAGACGGGGGTCATACGCCGAGTCATAGGCCGGAAATACTGGTAGTTTCCGGCGTATAAGACGATGTTCTAGGAATGCGGCTCGGCGATAAAGACGGGGGTCGTCTTATACGCCAGGTCGCCTTGTACGCTGGCATATACGGTACCTCAAAGGAGCTAAATTGCAGAATATGCCCCAAATTCAGAATCCATGACTCTTGAGGAAATGAAATTTTGGGAAGCTGTGACTGCTGTTGCCAGGCTGCTGCTGTGGTCATTTTTGAACATTCCGTGACAGTTGCCCAGCCATTCTTGCAATCCTGTGTTCTCTCTTTCCCCCAGCAACATCTGCTTATGTGGGGGAAGGGAAGAGAAAGGAAGGGAAATCGTAACAGGAAGGAAGGAACCCTCAAGCATCCTTCTCATGTAGATGTGAATGTGGAACCAGTGAACTGCATAAAATAATAACGATTCAAAAACTACATTCTCCAGTCTGAGGAATGCTCACTCTCAGGGTCTTCAAAGATTTAAATCTTCTAAAATATATTTTTTACATACCAGAAAAATAGGATTTCTTCTTTCCTCCACTGCTTTCATGCCAGTCAGTATTTCTGCTAAAATCTAGAAAAATGATTATAATTAATTTTTTAAAAAATTATAAAGACAGCTGAGAATCCTGATCTTCAGACTATTTATGCAGTTCATCTGGCACTACCTAGATGCAATCCAATCCTATCATAGAAGAAAATCTTTCTATCAGATACAAGCCAGCTCTTAACCAATTCTATAGAGATCAATATTGCCTATGCTGACAGGCAACTTCTCTCTTCAATCTTAGGCAGAAGTCTTCCCTAGCCTTATAATCCAAAATTCTTTTTTCCTTAAAACACCAAGACACAACATAGCACAAATGATGTCTACCATGCAAATAATGTGCTCTGGCGTGGAAAAATGAGTTTATTCATACATTTCTTATCTCCAAGCATAATTTCATGAAATAACATTTTGACATTTTACTAGTCAAAGCACTGGAAGTAAGATAGCAAGCTTAATTAAAGGAAAACATGTCCAATTCCTGGCATGAGAATTATGTAAGATTATTCATGAAGAACCACAACTTACAATTCCACAAGCAAATATGTCCACTTTTTCAGTTAACTGCCCATGTCTGACAAAATCTTCTGGGAAATAAGCTAGTGAAGCTTGCAAGACCTTGGTTTTTATCACAGTATATTCTGATTTCTTTTCCACAGGATGCAGCCTAAGACCAGAATGTCCAAGTTGTGGTACAAAGTTTGCATCTAGCAAAACATTGGAACTGTACAGGAGACAAAAATACAAACAAAAGATCAGTTACAACATTTATCTTTGAATGTGAATTATAACCTTAAACAAATCAAAACAGCAATGTTAACTGATAAACAAACGTGTGACCAATATCTGATTTGAAAGCTAATAGAAATGGCAGTTAATTCAGATCTTTAATACTGTACATACATTTGAATTCTAACAAAGCATAATGTGACGAAGGTACCGTAAAATATAAATTATGCCAATAATGTCAGCTACCAATATTTTATTTACATGACAATTTCTTAATTAGGGCAAACAAGACTTTAAGAAAATATGTATTCATATTTATTTTTTATTTATCAAACTTGTATGCTGCCCATCTCACCAAAAGCAACTCTATACATCTGGAGATTGTGTATTGAGCAGAATAAATGAATAAAAGAACAGAGGGTGCATTCCAATTTTTCCTTCAAGTGCTCTCTTCTGGTTATTCTGCCCTAGTTAATCCTACTTATGACAAGGGAAAGAAAACCAAAGCCAGTTGAAGGGCAGCTGCAAATGTGCACTGTAGATTCAGCAGGTAAGAAATGATTCAGTACATTTTTTACTAACAATTTCGTACTCTTGAGGATTTGTCTGACACACGGGATTACTTCTAAACTTAAATTTGCCTTGAAGTATTGAAGGTAGGTTTTGCTTCCCCCTTTTTTTAGTCATAAAAGCCAAGCCAGCTGTGTGTTTGTGTGTGTGTGTGTAACAGCCAGCATCTATGTAGGAGGAAGTACTTTATGAGTCAGTTACATCCTGTGTTAATATTTATTGAAGATAAAATTGCTAGGAAGGATCATGAATGAAAGCACAGCTAATTGCCAGCACTGTGCTGATATTGTTTAGCTATACTCCTTTTTTATGAAAACACAACATTTTTAATCAGATAGAAGTTTAAGTAGTTCACTAAATAATATATAATACAGTAGGATGCATATAATAGGATTCCCACCTTTTTATATTTCCATGAATAATTCCAAACTGATGTAAATGCTGAATGGCTTTAATTAATCCCAGAGATATCCTGGTGCGTTTCTCCCAAGTTAATGCTTCAGAATTATCCTGCAATAGAAGGAAAAATGTGTTTTTTAAAAAGATGACTGTTGAGCAATGAATGACAAAACACTCTCCTGTACTGCTCTGCTGCCACATACTTTTCAGCCTTTTTGAGCCTGATATTGTATTGGATTGTAACTACCAGTACCATCATCTCCATGAGGATTGGGGAAAGAAATTGTAGTTCAATCTATTTGGGGGATACCAGGCTCTGGAAAAGCATCTATACTTTCTTCAACTATACCATTTTCATATGATCCATTGTTTGAAACTGGAGCTGGTTGATTAAGTAAGAACTAAACTCATCTCATTCTCCATGAATTGGGCTGCCTCCTTCTCTATCTTGTGTCAATGATTTTATTGTGCTTGTATTGTGATTTTATTGGGTATGTTTATATTTGATGATTTTAATGTTTTTATTGTATGCTGCCCAGAGTTGTTTTGAAACAAAATGGCTGGCAAATAAGTTTCATAATAAATTAAATTAAATTATCACATTAAATTAAATTAAATTTATGATCAAGCACAGCCTACTGTCTAAACACAACCAGATTTTCAGTGCTGCAGTATCCACTGGGTTACAGTGAGGGAAAAAATTTATTTGATCTCCTGCTGATTTTGTACATTTGCCCACTGACAAAAAAATGATCAGTCTATAATTTTTATGGTAGGTTTATTTTAACAATGAGAGGCAGAATAACAACAAAAAATCCAGAAAAACACATTTCAAAAAAGTTATAAATTTATTTGCATTTTAATGAGTGAAATAAGTCACAAAACATGACTTAGTAATTGACGGCAAAACTCTTGTTGGCAATCACAGAGGTCAGATGTTTCTTGTAGTTGGCCACCAGCTTTGCACACATCTCATGAGGGATTTTGTCCCAACTCCTCTTTGCAGATCCTCTCCAAGTCATTAAGGTTTCGAAGCTGACGTTTGGCAACTCGAACCTTCAGCTCCCTCCACAGATTTCCTATGGGATTAAGGTCTGGAGACTGGCTAGGCCACTCCAGGACCTTAATGTGCTTCTTCTTGAGCCCCTCCTTTGTTACCTTGGCCATGTGTTGTGGGTGATTGTCATGCTGGAATACCCATCCATGACCCATTTTCAATGCCCTGGCTAAGGGAAAGAGGTTCTCACCCAAAATTTGACAGTATATGGTCCCATCCACTGTCCCTTTGATGCAGTGAAGTTGTCCTGTCCCCTTAGCAGAAAAACATCCCCAAAGCATAATGTTCCACCTCCATGTTTGATGATGGGGATGGTGTTCTTGGGGTCATAGGCAGCATTCCTCCTCCTCTAAACACAGCAAGTTGAGTTGATGTCAAAGAGCTTGATTTTGGTCTCACCTGACCACAACACTTTCACCCAATTCTCCTCTGAATCATTCAGATGTTCATTGGCAAACTTCAAACAGGTCTGTACATGTGCTTTTTTGAGCAGGGGGAACCTTACGGTCACTGCAGGATTTCAGTCCTTCACAGCGTACTGGGTTACCAATTATTTTCTTGATGACTATAGTCCCAGGTGCCTTGAGATCATTGACAAGATCTCATGTAGTTCTGGGCTGATTCCTCACCATTCTCATGATCATTGAAAGTCCATGAGATGAGATCTTACATGGAGCCCCAGGTCAAGGGAGATTGACAGTTATTTTGTGTTTCTTCCATTTTTGAATAATCACACCAACTGTTATCACCTTCTCACCAAGCTGCTTGGCGATAGTCTTGTAGTCCATTCCAGCCTTGTGTAGGACTACAATCTTGTCCTTGACATCCTTGGACAGCTCTTTGACCTTGGACTTGGTGGAGAGTTTGGAATCTGATTGATTGCTTCTGTGGACAGTTGTCTTTTATACAGGTAATGAGCAGAGATTAAAAACGCTCCCTTTAAGAGAATGCTCCTCAGCTTGTTACCTGTGTATAAGACACCTGGGAGCCAGAAATCTTGCTGATTAATAGGGGAACAAATACTTATTTCATTCATTAAAATGCAAATCAATTTATAACTTTTTTGAAATGCTTTTTTTCTGGAATTTGTTGTTATTCTATCTCTCACTGTTAAAATAAACTTATCATTACAATTATAGACTGATTATTTTTTGTGAATGGGCAAATGTACAAAATCAGCAGGGGATCAAATAATTTTTCCCCTCACTCTATCACTGCAACCAAAATCTTTTTGAAAGGGTTAGGGAAACAAATTTTGAGGCTAAACAATAGATAGAGTCAAATTGATGCTTCTGACTTGGGAGTGACTGATTCCTCATTAGCTCTTTGCCTTCCTGCTAGTGATACAGCCATGGCACCTTTTCCCCTATCTCTGCAACCTCACATCAACCTCAGTGAGCAATCTCAGGTTTTCCAAATGTTGTTAGTTGGCATGTAACTCCCATAATCCCTCTCATGCTGCTTGAGCTGATAGAAGTACTTCCTTTTGATAGATGCGGTATGCAAAAATGCATGCTTGTTACTTACCTGACACTGTAGCCTGTCCAGTAACGATCCATTTTCCATGTAGGGGTAAATCAAGGAGTGAAGTCCACTTTCCACACATAAACCCAACAACGGTAGAATATTAGGATGGCAACATCTAAAAGGCATTTGAAGAAATTGTATTTATTCATTTATTACAATTATATCCCATCACAATCCCACAGGACACTCAACAATTTCCCAAGAATTCAAACATTATAACATACACAATACAATGAGATCTAAGAAACATAAAACTCAAAAATCCAAAAAGACCTGGTTGAGGGAAAGGTTCTTCCAGCCCTTTCCTTCAGATGGAGCTGAGGGTCAAAAGAGAAGAAGAGCTACGAAGCCTAGCTAGGAACAAACAGGCAGAAAAAGCAAAGAATAAGCAAAGATCTTGATAGAACAAGAATAGAAAACTGAAACAATCAAAAAATATAAAAGAGAGATCGAACTCTATACAAAAAGAGTATCGGTCTATAAAGAGTAGCAATACATATATATAAGACAAAAGATATATAGAGGTCAGCAATAAATATATTACAGATATAAAACTGATTCAAAGACATGAACTAAATTTTAAACAATATGGTGTAAAGTAAAAGCCTGTAGATAATACTTAAAATAGTATATACTGTAGTTTTAGCAATAAGATACTAATGAAATAGTATCTGAAATAGTTGAAGGCATTTAATGTTTACAATTGGGGGGGGGGAATAAGCTTTCCTTGTTTGTAAAGTCTCCAACAGCCACTGAAGGAAGATGTAAAAGCAAAATAAAGCAGCTCTTTTCTAATACTTATTTACCTCTTTATTGATAAATTCAATAACTGAATTAATTATATAGATATGCACAGTTTTCATAGAGATCTAATCTAATCCCCACTAAAAGAGTTGTTCAACTACTTACCGAAAGCAGATTTGCAATTCTGTACGAAAAAATACTTGTCCCTCATTCTGAAATAAAGAGAATCCTATTATTTTTCTGAACAGCAAGTTCATATTTACACATATTAGTATATACCAGTGATGGAGAACCTTTTAGAGACCGAGTGCCCCAAAACTGGCCACGCCCCTGCTCCACCCCCTGCCCCGCCCCCACCCTGCCTGCCCACAGGGCTACTTACCACCTCCAGGGCCCACTGCAGATCTAGCAGTGCCATGGCAGCCATGCCCTCTGCCCACACCCTGCAGCATCAACTGTGTGCGATGGGACATGAGGGCAGAGTCCTATGCTGCCTGGCTGCCATGTCCTTGGCTGCAGTGCTCTGCCTGGGCCACGCTCAGGAGCAACTCTTCTCCAGGAGGGCTGCTGGTGAGGAGGGGGTCATAGGGGGAGGCAAGCTGGGGAACGGCACGTGTGCCCACAGAGAGGGCTCCGAGTGCCGCCTCTGGCACCTGTGCCATAGGTTTGCCACCACTGGTATCTACGGTATATACTAGCCATTTTCTTAAACCTATTTGAATCTATTAAACTCAAAATGACAATCGGAATTGCAGAAGCAGAGGCTAGTGTGTTTATTCTGCTCTACCCAATTGCATCAGTAGTTCAAGCTCCAAGAACTCTCTGCTAACATGCTAACACATTGCATTTCACTAACATTATCTGTACAGAATGAAATCACATTATATTATTACATCTGCATTTTCAACAATATACTGTAACAATGGTTGGAAACTGATCAAGGAGAGAAGCAACCTGGAATTAAGGAGAAACTTCCTGACAGTGAGGACAATCAACCAGTGGAACAGCTTACTCCCAAAAATCGTGGGCGCTCCATCACTGGAGATTTTTAAGAAGAGACTAGACAATCACTTGTTTGAGATGGTATAGGTTGTCATGGACTAGAAGACTTCCAAGGTCCCTTCCAGCTCTATTCTATTCTATTCTATTCTATTCTATTCTATTCTATTCTATTCTATTCTATTCTATTCTATTCTATTCTATTCTATTCTATTCTATTCTATTCTAATTTTAAAAGAGAAGTTCTTTTTTGCTTCTGTATTTTTAATTCTATTTTAAACCAAACTGATTTAATTGGGAAGCTAATTGAGATCTATATTTATATTGTATTAAATTTGTATAAGCAATTTATATCGCTTTGTAGAAAAAATGGTTAGAAAGTGACAACAAGACCTTCATATCTTTCTCTCATCACCATAAATAGGTTCAACATTTAATGCTATTTGGTTCCAGTTCAATAAAATTAACCCCCTTATAATAATCCAAGCCTACTTATCTCAACTCCTAACAATAACTGAGGATCCAGATTTTTGAACTTGTCCTCTCTTGCTAAACTTGGCTCTGACTTAGCCAGTCTGGGTTCAAGACAAGATAAACAAAAGATGCTCTGTGAAATTATTGCAGACCTTTTCTAAAGTATGAGAGATGTCTGTCAAGAATCTTCTTCCAAAAACACAATGCTAGGGATGGGAATGGCAGTGACAAGAATCCAGTATGGCTATATAGATGCCCTCCTATTGTTAACCAGCTTTGCACATGCCTTTCTCATTTTGTTCAATTCATGAGATAAATGAAGACAGACACTTACCTCTTTTAGTTTTTTAACAACATAGTGAGCATTATCTCTCTGAGCTCTGTAAGTAGTAGCAAAGACGCTTTCACTAATTTGGTTTTTTTCACTGAAGCCGCTAGTGGCAATTTCCACTTCCTTTGGCATCCACAAAAGGCTTGCAGTGTCATGATTAGGAGAAGCTTTCTCCTGAGGAATGGATGAACTATAAAGCTATATATTTAAGAGAAAAGACATGACTGATATTTTGGTAAACACCAGAAAAAGTACTTTCAATCCCAAGTCACACCACAGGCTTTCATTCCAATACAACTACACCTAGTTCTGGTTACTAGAACTAGAATTGCCTATCAAAAAATGTACATTTCAGTTTGATTTGATTAGCGATATCAAATATGCTAGGGAAACAGTAGAATCGGTTCTTTGCTATAATCCTGTACATTCACAATGTCTTTCAGGTGGTTTGGGGGAGGAGGCGTTATGGCCACCTTAACCACTTAAGTAAGAAATATTGCAGAAGCATAATTTTTATTTTGACAGAATATGCTCAGCTATGTTGCTTGTTGTTAATTGCGAAGTCGTGTCCGACCCATCGTGACCCCATGGACAACGTTCCTCCAAGCCTTCCTGTCCTCTGCCATCTGGAGTCCTTTTAAGTTCATGCCTACTGCTTCAGTGACTCCATCCAGCCACCTCATTCTCTGTTGCTCCCTTCTCCTATTGCCCTCAATCTTTCCCAGCATTAGGCCCTTCTCCAGTGAGTCCTTCCTTCTCATTAGGTGGCCAAAGTACTTGAGTTTCAACTTCAGGATCTGGCGTTTTAAAGAGCAGTCGGGGTTGATCTCCTCTAGGACTGACCGGTTTGAACACCTTGCAGTCCAAGGGACTCGCAGGAGTCTTCTCCAGCACCATAGTTCAAAGGCCTCAATTCTTTGTTGCTACCTTATTTAAAAGTTGGTGGTGGTTTTTTGTGATATATTATAAAACCTTAGAAGTTTGAAGATATGACATGAAATGTTACTAAAAACTAATATAATACCTTCTTATTTATATTTTTCCTTTATTATTCTCTTGGGTCTTTTTTCTATTTCAGCTGCAGCTACTAATAGGCTTTGTTTTGTAACTCTAAAGTTGTATATCTTCAGAATGCCACATATTTAGATACTATTTCCTGGAATGGGATAAACATATTCAGTCCTGAATATATGGATGGTTTTTCATACCATTAGACTGGCATCCAGGATTTTGATTTGATTGCTGCTTTAAATTCCAGCATCTTAACTGTTATGCTTTACTTTGCCTCTTGCATAATAACCCTATCAAACAATTGATCTCTAATGAAACATTTCTCTTAGTTGAACAAAATATTTAACAGAGATCATTGCTAATTGCTATGCACAGAATTATTTTTATTGATAAAACTGTAGCCGATAATACTGATAATAGCATTTACTGTATATTTTGAATTAATGTTATTAATATGTTTTACTATCTGTATGCTTAAGCAATATATTTTACTGACTGCAGAATATTTTAGCTAAATGCAAACAGTTTAAAATAATGTAAGTTTTCCTGGTCTTTACCTTTCCATTTGAGAAATCTGAGAAATTTGAATGTAAAGAATGTGGGAGATCCACAGAAGTTGGCGGTAGAGATAAAAGAGGTATGTGTGAATCTACTTTTAAAAAAGGATCTGAAAGTAACAGAAATAAAATACATTAGAGGCTACTTCTGCAGTTTTAGTCACATAAGAGTTAGATTTATTTCATTCCAAATATCTGTACTCAGTGAAAATTAAAACAATTATAAATCTTCTAGCATTTTAAAATTGGGTTGCAGACCCTAGTCAATTGTGGCTGATCTTGACAAAGCTATGTAAGACTGCATCTAGTTACTATTTAGACAGGAGGCTACTAAGGAATTCTGGCCTGTAGGCTACACTGGGAACTTGATGAAGCATCCAGGAAGAAAGAAATAGCAAATTCATTTTTTGACTATTGTAAATAAAACTATGTGACTCTGTTTACATAGTCATCAGAGGTTGAGTTCAACTCAATGGAGACTTTACTTCATTGTGCCAGAAAGCAGATCCACTCATCCTGGAGCTTTCCAGATGTCTGGAGTTCAAATTTCAATTATCCATTTAATGGTGCAAGCCGCGTAGACTCGTCTTGTGGCGGGATGGACAGCAAACAAATTTAATAAATAAATACATCCATAGACAGTATGTCATGCTAGAATTTATGGTAATTAAAATTGATTATATTGGGCATATATAATATGAGGAAAATTGCCCTAAGTTTGATTTATTGCTTAGTATTATGCATGATGCATGAGTCTAATCACTCTCCTGCACCACAGGAAACAGATGAATTTGTATGATAATGATTGTGCAAGATAAGTCCAACAACTATCAACCTCTAGTGTGGAAAAGAGATTAATTTATTTTGATTGAATCAAGAAAACAAAGTATTACATTTGATAGCATATTTAAGAAATAAGATGTTGCATATACACAATTAGCAGTGGCTGCCAACTTCTTCCCTTTGTTAATGAAACAAAACTTAACGATTTTTTAAAAAAAATTCTAAATGCTTTTTTGTACCATACCATTCTGTCTTCTATGCATCTGTGTCAAGTTTGGCAATGATGGTGATGCTTTCATCCCATTTCCTATTTTCTCTTTATTTTCCTTCCCACTTGGATGTGGCAATTCCTTCTCCTGTTCAGGGGGCTTCAAAAGAGGCCTGGTAGAATCATGATTGTGTGACTTCCCTGTAAAGATAAAATATATTGGTAGAGTATTCCTAATTGTACATGTGTAGAGCCAGAGTGATAGAATATTGAGACTTGCAAATCCAATTCAGCTGGGTTTTCTGCTCAAAATACTTGCACTTATTCTTGTACAGATAGGCCTTGATGAAGAACAATCTATAACAATATGTAGATTTCAAAATAAATTCCTTCTCTGTAACAATTTCAAAATAAATTCCTTCTCTGTAACAATATTTTAAAATGTTCAGTTATATTTCATTTGTTTCTTGGTGGGACATTGGGTGCAAACAAACGGCCACATTCTACAATGAGATAAGCTGTATTGAGATAAATATCTGAATTCTCTGAAGCAAATCAAGAATTCAGTAACCTCACGGAAACATTCCAAAATGCTGCAGATGCTGTTATATTTCAGGAAATTCACATCTTTTCTTCCGGGTTCCTGTTTACTTTTGTTGAAAACAATGCAGTAGAATGAAATTTCACACCACTGAGAATGTGTGGAATCTGCCAGACAATAATGCAGTGGAGAGGTGAGAAGGTTAAAGAACAAAAGGTAATGTATCAAGGTATATGGATGAAGCAGAAGCAACCAGAAACATGTTAGTATAAACTAGGTTCAGTAGCATTCCCATTCCCTCATCTGATGTCTTTATTTAGTTTAGTACTTCTTATGAATTTTCTGCTCTTTGCATATTTTCACTTACCTAGCTCAAGAAAAGAAAGAAGGTACTTACAATCTGCAATCACTTGTGCTGCCCTGTAGAACTCCAATTCCTGCAGAAGTTCCAACAATTGTTGGACCGTTGCAAGCCGCACTCCCCACCACCACATTAGTTCTCTTGTTATACTAATTCCTGCTTTTTCCATGCATTTGATTTTTCTCAGCTCAGTCTGGTCAGTTATCACATGAGATGCTGAAAGCAAAACAAGACTATTTTGATTAACAGCTCATTTTCCTATCATCTGGTTGAACTTGTTGAATCTGAAAAACATGAAAACTCCCACAGTTTTACCTCAGAATTTAATCCAGAGGGTTGAATGGTGAGTGAGGAACCTACTTCAAATGTTGCTATAATACAAATCTCAATTAAGACCAGGCTGTTCAATTATGAGGAAATCTGGGATCTGTAGTTTGGCAACATCTGACATGTATCAAATTCCTCACCATGATCAAGAATAAGAATAGAATAGAACTGGAAGGGACCTTGGAGATCTTCTAGTCCACCCCCCTACTCAAGCAGGAGAACCTATACCATCTCAGACAAGTGACTGTCTAGTCCAGGGGTGTTAAACTGCCGGCCCGCGGGCTGGATGCGTCATTAGGAAATCATGCCCACCCCATTGCCGGCAATGGCAAAAAAGCTCCGATACGTTGTGCAATGTCACGTGATGTCACGAGTTTGAGATGTCTGGTCTAGTCTCTTCTTAAAAACCTCCAGTGATAGAGCACCCAGAATTTCTGGAGACAAACTGTTCCACTGGTTAATTGTCCTCACTGTCAAGAAGTTTCTCCTTAATTCCAGATTGCTTCTCTCTTTGATCAGTTTCCAACCATTGTTTCACGTCCTTCCCTCTGGTGCTTTGGTGAATAACATAACCCCCTTTTCCTTGTGGCAAGCCCTCAAATACTGGAATACTGCTATCATGTCTCCCCTATTTCTTCTTTTCTTTAGACTAGCCAAACCCAAGTCCTGCAGCCATTCTTCATATGTTTTAGTCTCCAGGCCTTTGATCATCTTAGTTGCTCTTCTTTGAATTTTTTTCAAACTCTCAACATCTTTTTTGTGATACGGTGGCCAAAATTGGTGGGAACTGGAGGATCATATAATCTGGAAAGGTATATGTCAGAGGTGTCAAACTGCCAGTCCATGGGCTGGTTGCATCATGAGGAGGCCGCGCCCACCCCAGCTCCGGCAATGCAAAAAAAGTCACGATACATCGTGTGACGTGGCAATTTTGACACTCGTGGTATATGTTACCCTACCTCTGCTTAACATTAATCTATATAATGTAACAGAAGGTTTATAGGTAATAATGACTATGGAGGTCTCACCACAGTTCCTTGTCTTTTTAGCAGATGACTGGTAAGTATAAGAAAACAGTGTTTAGCCAAAGTTCTCTGCAAGTTTCTTCACTGCCCATATAACACCTTATTTTACTGCTCCACGAAGAAGCTATAAATTGCTGATGCCATAGGACTTGGAACAGAGAAAAGCTGTTTAAGGGATGGGCCGCAAATGCAGCATTGTATTCATTTTTTATAGTGGCATTTTGTGATCACAACAGCTTTGCAAAAAGGTTGGGAAGTATTCTATGTTTCATTTTTTCTATCATTTATGAACATTAGTGGTACATCAAATGACCAGCTATCTATCCATATGTCTTGCCTCACCAGTAGGTATTGGAAGAAATGGGTAAATTTTATTCCTATTATTCAAGTAACTTTCAAATTCTGCTGCTCATCTGGAGGTGATTCTTCCCATAAATGATCAGGAATGTAACTGCTTACACACTGGGATTCGACATGCAAAAGTGCGGGAAGGGAGTGCGTGTACCTAGGAGTCCACAGAGGTATCTTTCCGTAGTGACTAGGCAATACCATGCACAGAAGAGCTGCCGTCTTCCTCATTTATTTGAACTGCTGTATTGATGGGAAATCACTCCAGAGCAGACTATTAATCCCTCATTCTTCAGGAATGCACTCCAGCAATTCATAAACCATGACTCATAATTGTTTGCGAGTGAACTAGAAAGCCAGTGATAAGACAGGCTTTCTGATGTATGACGTATCTCTTGAAAAACTCCCATTAATGAAAAACCACGTGGGAAAATTAAAAGAACAATTTATACCCAAAGATTTTCTGAGGATCACTATAATGAAAACATACAGGTGGAGACCCAGAGATCACTCTTTCATTAAGCTCTTTTTTATTTCAAGAGATGGAATTGGTACACCTCTAACAAGAAGCCTTTTATCAGTAGGGTTAAACAATAAGGACAGATCATAGTGAGTAATTTTCAACGGAAATGCCTTTTGCCAAAACTACTGAAGCCTCTTAAAGGAATCATTCATCGTTTTACTGTTATGGCATTTTCACTGACAGATGTGATTAATTTTCATTATCATTTCCTCATCTTCATTTAAAAAAAGAGAAAGTTCTTTCATTACAAAACAAAACAGAAGCAGAAATAAGAAACACAGCTCCAAAATGATTCTGATCTTTCATACATGCCATATCATTTATTTTAGTAGATTTCTAAATCTTTTAAGAGATTCTATCATTTTACCAAGAGAGATTAAATTCTTTCTGGCATGGTGCCACACTACCAGAATTTGCGAGACCTAATATTTTAGTTAATTGGCGCAAATATATACAGTATAGTGGATATATAATCAATAATATACTTTTGTGAAGTTTTAAAGCGGATGTGGATGTGTGTGTGTGTGTTTGTGTCTTACGTGTATTCATTCACCTTCGTTCTGTATAGCTGCTGAAAAGAGAAAACTCAAGAGCAACATTCTCTCCCCTCTCCCCCACCCACCCGGTTTGCTCACCAAAGCGCATCCAGTCGTACTCGTTGAGGCAGTCCATCTTCTGGCAAAAGTCCTCCAGCACCCAGGAGGGCAAGCTGTGGAGGTAAGGAGACGGGGGGCTGGACCCCTCCGGACAGGACAAGGAACAGGACGGCGGCGGCGGCTGAGCCATTTCGCTCTCCGCTTGCGTCACAGGTCTGGGAATTCCCGTCGCTTTACCTTTAGCCATGCACAAGAGCTGCCCGTCCAGATGTTCAAATTAGAAGGGGAAGTGAGCTTGGCACTTTCTTCCCGGAGAGCGAGGCCCCGCAGCAGCGCCGGCCGCAGATGAAGAAAATCGAAACCGCTTTCCCCTACTTTCCGCACCCTGACAGCTCAGTCCCAGAACGAGGCGCGATTTCGGCTCTTCTCTACGCGCGGACAGCGGCTTCCAGACCAGCTGCCTGGAAGAGAGTCGGCTCCACCCCCAAGCTCCCCGGATTCAGCCTCGCCTGACGTCAGTTTCTACACGTGACGCAAATCGGAAGAGGCAGAAGCCGCGAGAGCCTTTGGCTTTTAGCAAAGGGGGGCATTTCAACACCTCAGGGGAAGTTTTGATTGCGCCGTTTCTAGGTCACTTATAGGGGAAAAGGAAGCGAGGCCCTGAAAGGAAAGGTGGCAGCAGGCAGGCAGCGGTAAACACTTTCGTGCGACTAGAATTTGGGGGAGGATGGCACAACATAGGAGAACAAATCCATCAGGGCAAAAGTCAGCAGTCCATCTGCATTTAAAAAACAAAAGCCATTGTTTCGAAGACAGCAAAGACCATATTTTGGACAGAGAGGACCGCTGGTTTGAAAGAGGGGTCAAAGAAGATAGCTTATGTCAAAACTGAACAGTCCTCTCTCAACACAGAGGGAGGGATCTGACATCATCTATCCCCAGTCTACAACACAGTCCTTTCAACAGTTCCAAGAAGGCTCCACATCCATTTGCACTACTCAGGTGACCCTAATGACAGATAAATCTGGTGGCATCAATGACTCTCTAAAAGAATGCAAATGACCAGCTGTCTGCAAGAAGTATAAATCCTTCCATTTTCCTATCATCCAGTCAGAACTGAAGAAGCTTTTTGGATGAAAGAAAAAGAAAAGCAAGAAAGTTTAGTTGCCTTGTGAAAAAGCATCTTTGGGATAATTATGATCTGGATGACAGAATCTCCATAAACACTGGGGGAGGATGCTTTCCTTACAGCAGGGGTGTCAAACTTGCAACGTCAGGTGACGTATTGTGATGTATTGTGACTTTTTCCCATTGCCGGCAATGGGGTGGGTGCGGTTTTAGTGTGACGCATCCGGCCTGTGGGCTGGCAGTTTGACACCCCTGACTAACAGGAAAGGGTCATACAATATTTTTTAGTAGACGTGAACAAAAAGCTATGTTTGCCCCAGGGAAAAGGCTAGCACCTAATATTTCTAAATAAAATTCTCTATACCCTGAACATCACTTACATTCCACTTTGTTAAAGGAGAAACTAAAATGAGGACAATAAGGCTGAATCAGACTGCAAGTTTCTTATAAAAATATCTAATTCTTTGAATTATGCAAATAGATATATGAAAAAGTGAAAGCCTCCACAATACCACTGCTAGCTAGACCCACATTAACCCCTAGCTACCCCTGGCGCTATCAGTGAAACTTAAAACAATAAAACAAAAAGACTCCTTAAGCTTTTCAGACCATATTGATACTTAGGCTGAAATTTATTAAGAGCCTCTTACACAAGCTGATATCAACAAGTGAAAAATCAAAAGCCCCTTAAGATACCAAAATCCTTTATATATAAACACTAAATGATCCCCCAAATTGGGGCCCACAGCTATCACACAAAAGAGATATGTAAGATTATCTCACTCCATAGGGCAGTGATGACGAACTTTTTAGAGACTGAGTGCCCAAACTGCAACCCAAAACCCACTTATGCATCGTCAAGTGCTCGGTGGATGTGGCCCATTGGCTGGGTGTGGCCCATTGGCTGGGTGTGGCTGCAGTGGTAACGGCAGACTGGGTGGGACTAAAAAGTTCAATCAATTCCAACTTTGCAAGATCTTTTTTTTCCCCGCAAGAAGTTGAAATTGACTGATTGAACCTTTTTTTTTTGCACATGGCGGAGGCCTAAAGCGAAAAGGTTTTATAAAACCCAGCTGAAGGCCTAGGGCTGGGGTGACGGTGCACGTGCCCACAGAAAGGGCTCTGAGTGCCGCCTCTGGCACCCGTGCCATAGGTTCGCCACCACTGCCATAGGGTAAGGAAATGGCACTTTCTTCTCACCAGACTTGGCTCAGTCCTCCCTCCAAGCAAATTACATTAGCATGCTGTACTAACAAAGCCTAAACTTGTCTATAAATATTTTCAAACTTTGCTTTTCGAAATGTCACCTTCAACCACTGAGCATTTGCATTGCTGTGGAATAAATTATACTTCCACTTCAAGCAGGCATTCTGTGCTTGTTGACCCAGCTCAGAACAGACCAAGAATTTTCTTCTAACAGATGGAAAAACATCGCGGACAGATTTAGAGCTCACCCAGGGGGTATTTTAATGAGGGTTTGGCTCTTATACATTTTTGTCCCCAGTGAGTTTTGCACATCGATCAACCACATCTGCTTATTATATCTCATGCTTTCTCCCCCATTCCATGGATTGGGGTTAAGTTTATCCATTGATGGTTGACAACTATCTATGCAAATTTATGTAGCCCTGCCATGCTCTTAACAAAGATATTGCAACATCCAATTCTGTCTGTGGCAGGGAAAACAATTTCAGATGTAAGATTTTAATGCTGGTGGTGGGCAAAAAAGGGAACAAAAACTGTTCTTCCCTCTAAGAGGAAGTTGTATCAACCTAAATTCTGCTGCCCTCATGCAGTGTCCTTACTCCGCATCTGGAACTGGATTAAGCCTGTTGTTTTTTCATACAATACTACTCCCTCCTTTAGCATTCCATAGGCAGCAACTGGTGACTTTCCTGGCTTAAGATTTTGCTCCTGCCCATAAAAACACCCACCAATTACTATTCAAAATTGTATTTGATTTCTATAACTGCCCATTTCAACAAATGACTCTGGTGACTCTTGATATTCTGCCCATTTTTTTAAATGGCAGGATTATTGACAATGATCTTTGTGTGATAGTAGCAAGAAATCCAGCTACAAAAATCAGCAGAGTCAACTGAAATTGCACTGTGCAGGAGTGGGGACAGTGGCTTTTTTTAGGGCAGAGAAGAAATTCTTCCTGGACAGTTTAAATGTATTTCCTTCTTGTTGAGTGTTGCTGTGCCTCTGGTTGCAGGGATTGTCCTGTTCTCTGGTAAATGAGTTATCAATGAGCCTTGATTTCTGACATGGAATGACTTTCTGCCCATAATCTCTCATTCTGCTCACATTCAAGAAAGCTACCTTTGTTGAGGTGAATCAGGATAAATTGGACATCGTACTAAACCTGGTTTTAGCATTTAAGAAGACAGAGATGTTGATCACCAGCACTTGCCTTTCCTCAGTTGCTTGTAACAGAAGATAGCATGAAAACTACAGAGTAGATTGTATTCTGCAAGCTGTTGGAGGAGCACAATGAGAAGCCACCCTAAAAGTTATGGTCAGTGACAATGCCAGGTGAAGTACCAGCACTTTAAAGATAAGGAGAACTCAATGCAAAATCTTCCAGCTGTACATATTTAAAAGTATTTTTCAGCCCCAGGAATTGCTGGCAGCCTTTGCTTGTTGGGCTTCTATTAGAGCAGCGGTGTCAAACTTGCAACATCATGTGACATGTCGTGACATATCGTGACTTTTTTGCCATTGCTGGCAATAGGGTAGGCGTGGTGAGCCGGCAGTTTGACACCCCTGTATTAGAGGAACCAATGGCATATGTTTCATTGCAGTCAGTTGAAACATCTGGTGGTGTGTATCTTTGCCTCTTAGAAGGACACAAAACACATCTCCATTCCCACTCCACCCTAAAAATAAAAGCAATGACCTGTTGACAAATTCCAAAATTTTATTTTAAGACAGTTCTTGCAAGGAGTTTTCACAGAATAGCACCCATTTTGCATATTCCATACTGCATTGCAAAAAATGTTTTGGCTTTCCAGAAATTCTTGAAAACCAAGTTCTTCTGGAAAGCCAATGGTGATTGATGGCCACCATTTCAGAGTTTAGAACTGATATTTTATTTTAAATGCTTGGCAATAGAGGAGGTAGGGCCAACAGAAATCAGTGTTCATGCTCATGAGCAACATTTGCAAGAAATATCAGACTACACACCCCACAATTGTTCTCAATTATCAAGTCACGAGGAAATAGGGAAGCCTGAATTGGTAATTCAAAATGTTTTGAAACCCAACAAGCAGATTGGGTGGAAACCCTGGGATACCTAGGATCTTGAATTCTTTAGAGCAGACATGTCAAATTCGGGACATCATGTGACATCACGCAACATATCAGGACCGTTTTGCCATTGCCGGCAATGGGGTGGGCACGGCTTCTGTGTGATGCATCTGGCCCGTGGGCCGGCAGTTTGACACCCCTGCTTTAGAGAATGCCAAAATTTCTGCATGCACCCTGAAACATAGAACATCAAAAATAGTATTTGGTTCCAACAACAGTTATATGGAAAAGAAAGAATCCATCATACCTTTTATACCAGCTGTAGAGCCATCCAGGGGAGGGAACAGCCTTAGGAAATTTATCCGCTAACTGAATTGTTCTTTTTTTTATGTTATTCACTAATATAGCAGAATGTCTATCTCCATCCCCGCCCCCTCCCAAGCCTCCCTCACCCACTCAGCAAGAATTTGTAACAAACTCTTGGGAAAAAGTTTATTATTGTAACGATTTCCCAAGTGCAGTGTCCAAAGCTCATTTGTAGGAATGGTAAAAACAAGCATGTACATAAAAAGCAAAAACAAAAACAAAACCCAAAACCATGTCCATTGGAATATAATCTTGTTCTCTTTTGTGAAACTCATATAAGATTACACATTATTTATTAATAGCATTAAACATTTTAAAACTTTAAAACAATTCATAAACCTCTACACATTTGCTTCTGCCTTTCATTTTCATACTTAAAATCAATAAAATTACAGTTCCAATCCATGTACTAGGCGAAAAGACACTATGGAAGCCAGTGTGATTATTTTAGATGCATGCCTGTGGTTATGTCATTACAAAGGATGGGTACTAATGTACCCCCCATGCCTGTTATATCAAACTCCCTGCTTCCCTTGATTTTTGCTTTTTAGCATTCCTTTAATGACAAAGTGGAGAGAAAGCAACTAGGGAGCATGGGAAGGAATATGATTTTCTTTCGGATTCTGATAATTGGATGGTTTATTTTACTAGCCATGTTGGTCATGAGCATTTTAGGAGGGTGCCCATAACATGCTCTCAAAGTTCTAAAGATGTGCACTGCCCCCCCCCCCAAAATCCTGGAAACCTCTAACATACTGTATATTCCAGCGTATAAGACGACTTTTGAGAGCGTTGAAACAGCCTCCGAACTTGGGGGTCGTCTTATACGCCGAGTCGTCTTATATGCCAGAAATAAGGTAGTTTCTGGCGTATAAGACGACTTTCTAGGTGACTCAGCGTCGATCGTCTTATACGCCGGAAATACAGGTAGTTTCCGACATATAAGACGACTTTTTAGGCATGCGACTCGACGTCGATGGTCTTGCGACTCAGCGTTGTCTTGCGACCCGGCGTCGAACTAGGGGGTCGTCTTATACGCCGGGTTGCCCTATACGCCGGAATATACGGTAATAGTTTAACTTTGATATCTGATAAATGCAGGACCTAAAAGCAGGGGTGTCCAACCTTGGCAATTTCTTAAGACCTGAGGACTTCATGGCTGGCTGGGGAATTCTGAGAGTTGAAGTCCACAAGTCTTAACAGTTGAACATCCATGTTCTAAAACAAAGTGCTTTTGAGAACTAGGTGCACAATGACGGGATCTTTAAGATGATAACATCCACTGGCAGCCATGAACTCTGAGGGGCCTTTTGTAGCCACTCTTTCAAACTAAGACAGGTGCTGGGCACCAAAGCAAAATATGGTTGCTTCAGCTTCATCACGTATTGCCCATCCTTAATGTAAAATATATATCTGAAAAGTTATTTATGTCATGTAAATAGTGCTGCTTAGAGTTAACAGTTATGACATCGTGGTTTATTCATCTGCATTGCTCCAAAAAAAAAAAAAAAGAGTTTAAAAAGGAGAAGCTAATCCCATTTTAAAAATAGAGAAATGTGTTATGTATATCAGGTCCATAATCAAATACTGCTAAGAAATGTATTTTTGTCAAGAAAAGTAAAGCTACAGCATTTCCCTGAGACACCTGCAGGAATTAAAAGGAAAATACTGCCAATTAGTTCATTGTGCTTCCTAGTGTGGGGGCATTTTTCCCTACAATTGCTTTCTTGCGTTGCTTAAGAATTTAGCAGGAAACTAGCCAAAGTAACATTATGCTTGGTTTCATAAAACATGGCAAGACAAAATATGACTTTGTGGCTTACCATATGATGCATATCCAGCTAATGAGTTTTGTAAACAATGGCTTAATATGCATTAACATAGTCTATACATTACTTTTTTATACAAACTGAAGGGGCAGGAGAGAAAAGAAAAACAGAGATCCAATTAACAAGCTGCTTTAATACCTTCAAAGTTCTTTTTTTTAAGAAAAAGATAAATTGCATTATATGGAATGCCGAGAAATAGTCAAATATACATTAAAAGCAATTCTTAACAATTCAGAAATAGAAGTCAAATAGGCCAGCCTGGACAACTATTACCACTCTATATCAAATAAACATAGAATTACACAAAAGTAATGATGTGCCCAATTTCACATTAACAACATGTTTTCTTCTAAGAACTCAGTTACAGAACTAAATATTTAAGTTACTAAAATTGAGCTATTATAGACTTCATTTTCATAAAGATGCTATTTTTGCTGTCTGATTTAAAACAGGAGAAGAATTTTATTTACACAAAATTCCAGCCCCCAACATTCATATGTACACAAATTATACAAATTAGAAACTGTTTTGGACATGAAATCATTTAGCAAACATGCTTTATTTGAAAAATGATATCTAAACATTAGGTCTCACCTCAATCATTCCACTTTGTCAGTCTACAATTGAATAGTGAAAGCACTCTTTGCTGATACCAAATAACAAAAATAATTCTAGTTTTTAGTAGCTTTATTGAAGAGACTCTGGAAAATTGGACAACAGTGTTTCCATGTATCACCTGCTAAACCTCAAGCAAAAATATTTTATAAAACAGCTGAATACTACCTCAGCATGCTGTAGAACAGGGGTCCCCAGCCCCCGGTCTGTGGATCGGTACCGGGCCGCAGCAGGCCAGCAACCGGTCCACACGAACAAGCAAAGCCCCATCCGTGGGATGCAGGCAGCACACAAAACCACGCACTCTCCAGTCTGTGGAAAACGCTTTCTCCATGGAACCGGTCCCTGGTGCCCAAAAGGTTGGGGACCTCTGCTGTAGAAAGTTATTAAAATGGAGAGTTTTGGAAATATGTGATATATAGTAGTCTTGACTTACGACCACAATTTGGATAGGAATAAATTGAGCAGTGGTAATTAAACAAGATGTTTTGCTCAATGACTATAATCCTGACTGTAGTCATTAAGTAATTGTGCAGGTTGTTAAGCGGAGTCCCAGGTAAGGAGCACCAGGTGCCTCAGGAGGAAGGAAGAGACCCAGAAAGGCTCCAGTCAGAAGCTGAAAATCCTCCTTGCCAAAATCCAAGCAAGATTTGCATGAGACACTCATGCACAGCACTGGGTTTCCCCCATCCACCTATGGCATCCCACACTTCTTTCCTTACTAATTTGACTCTTCATTCTCTGCTTGGATTTCAGCTCCCTCTCGTCTCTGGAGGCTGGCTGAAAGGAGTTCAGCTCCCCTCTGCACATGAAAGGGAAATCTTTCAACAAGGTAGAAGAATGGAGCCGAAATCTTCAGGATTTTAGCTCCATTTCTGCATCTGCTGAAGGGGTTCAGCTTCCCTTGGGAGGCAGCTCTTTTAGACCTCTCCCAGAGATGAGAGGGAATCCTCTTGGCAAGTGGCAGCAGCTTGCAAACCTTCCCTGCTGGCTTCCCCATTGACCTTCTAGAAAAGCTGGCAGAGAAAATTGCAAATGTCCATCATATAATCGCAAGGCACTTGGCAATAACCTGGTCATAAATATGAACAGTTTGTCAAGCACCCAGATCAGGATCACATGACTATGGTGGTGGTGGTGCAATGTATGCAAAGGCCAGAAGTGCTTTATGGGCTGCAAAGCACCCTTTCCAAGGTCATTGTAATTCTGGACTGTCATTAAATGACAGTTCTAAGTCAAGGGCAACCTGTAAGGTAATGAACTGAGAAGCATAGGAAATTCAGGAAGTTTTCTTCCTATTGTTTAGGGAACACTTGGTCATGATCTCTTGGCTGGAACATCAAAGAAGTAGAAGTTATTATTTTAATATTTATTTCATTCATTTTTATTACTACAGTAACACTTGAATTAGGGCTAAATTTATCATAATTAGGGTTAAATTTATCACAAAATTATGTCTTTGCCATATAGCTGTCAAATTTTGGGGTTAGTGCAATGGGAAGAATACTAGCTAAAAAAATACTTACTCCCTGCTTTAGTGGAAGTTAACATTCATTACTTCATTACGTTCATTCATGGAATTCCCATCTTTTTCTACTTATGTCAGATATCTGCAGCAATAACAATGATCTATAGGAAACGTAAGAATAATAAAAGACAACCTAATGTTCTTGTCCCTCAAAATCTATCTGTAAGATAAATATAGAGGGGTGGAACATTTAATAGTAATTTATTCTTAAATATGAAGATTATTTTGTTCACAGTTCAGTTTTTACAATAAACATAATAAAAATAAAACAGCAGTTGAAATATGTGAAGAGCCACCAAAAAACAGCTTTGGCAACACTTCATCTTTTCCTGTATGATATCTAAGCAAAGTTCCATACCTTGCCTAATTTTTTGTATTTTATTAAAGTGTTTTTAGATATGACCTGGTGGCATTTTGACTCACTGTCCATTTCTACAGCTGTCAACATATAACCTACATAGGCTAAACCAAACAAGAGTTAAGTAACACAATGGAAAGTTGATGTCATCTTTTCCATTCATAAAATATAGTTAATACCTCTTGTACATAGCACTTTATTAGCCCAGGTAGCTTTCTCATTTAAGACTCCTCACGTCGATCAGAGATTCCATTCCTCAATCGGTTATGCCTTTCCACAGAAAGCCGCTGAAGATCCTTCCTAATGTCTGGATAATCTTCTAGATCTTCATATAATGAACGAACAATGTCTAACTCCCTGTAGTTTCCTGGTTGCACTAATGTGCGGATAACTTGCAGACATCTTTCCTTTAGAGTGAATACTATGGAGAGAAGAATGGACTTTTAATGCTTGGCTGAAGATATTCAAAATTAATGTGAAACAAGCTTAAATATCAAATATACATATTAGTTATCAAAACAAAAGTCATGACCCTCCATGATAAATTAGTCTAAAAAAAGGGAAACAGCAACAATTATAGATACTGCTTAAGAAACTATTTATCTACTTCCTCAATTTCATTCTCTTTATTCAGGTATATAATTTTAAACGTAAATATTGTAGGAAACACCCAAAACATATGGCATATCAGATAGTGAGGCAATTATTTATAGAGCATTATAATGTTACAGAAACACCTTACAGGTATTTTCCCCACGTTATTATTTTTCAGTGCCTTTGAGTCAGCACTGACTCCTGGTATCTGCCTGGACATATCCATGCAATTTTCTTGGCTAAATTTCAGAACTGGTTTGCCTTTGCTTTCTTCCTAGGGTTGAGAATGAGTGACTGCCCCAAAATAATCCTAGCTGGCTTTGTGCTTAAGATGGGACTAGAAAACACAGCCTCTTGGTTTCTAGCCTGGTACCCTAAAAACTAAACTGGCTCTCCTACCGTAACTATAATAAAGCACTTTAAATAATATTGTATTTAGCTGCTCACAGGATTGAAGATTTGCTTGTGATATAACAATTCACCAAAATAATTTGATTATATGATAAAGTTTATTTGTAAATTGTTCATTCTGTGTTAAAAGAGAGTTAAAGTGCATTATATTTGTTTATCTACATAGTTGGTTAATGTTAGTTAGATTATGATTATTATATTGGTTACCCTGTATTCAGCTCTGGGAAGTGGGGTAGGGAGGTGGGTTTGGGGTATATTTTGTAATTTTTGTAAAACTTTTCAATAAATTTTTTTTTACCAAAATAAACGAAAGAAAGATTTGTTAGAAGAAATGTTGGACTTCTACCAATTTCAGATTCTCACTCTCAGATTTTTATCTAATAGCTCTGTGACAAGAAATAGCATCTGAATTGAAACAGATTATTAATGAATCAAATATTCTAAGGCAGGGATCCCCAATCTGAGTCTGCGGCTTGGACCTGGTCCGTGGCCCACTAGGAACTGGGCTACGCAAGCAGCAGGTGAGTGCACGAAGCTCCATTCACGCAAGTGGCAGGTGCATGTGCAAAACCATCCTCTTCCCCCCTCCCACTGCTGCCACCGCTGTGCTGGTCTGCGGAGCTGGAAAGGTTGGGGACCATTGCCTTAAGAATATTGGACTGAGCCAAAAGGATTTTCTAGAGGCTTGCCTTGCCTTGACCACCTGAGTCATAACAGTTTGTTCTTATGCAGAAATGTATATGTTGTAAAAATGTGAAACCTGTAAAAAAAAGTAAGCATATATGTGCTTTTGCAAGCAGACACTGCTTTGCTTTTTGCTGAGAACTTGATAGATTTGCAGTGAATTTTCAAGATTGTAAAAAAAGGTAAAGATTCTCTTTAGTTCTGAAGATAATTTATTGAAAATCAAGACAGTTGTGACTGAGAGAGAAAACAGACTGAATAATTGCTAGTTATATATGAATGTGAATAATTTGAGCAACTTGATGAATTTGTGTCAGTAAAATGTTTTATTAAAGCAGGAAACATAGATGGACAAATTTTAAGGCGTCTAAGTGCTGACAGGTAGGTAATGGGCAGTATGTGGTATCTTGAAATAATGGATATTTGTTGAAAAAAATGAAAAAGCTATGTGTAAAAGGATAGTTCTGACCACTTTGTTATATGGAAGTGAAAGCTGAGTATGTCAGGAGAAACATAAAATTTGAATGAAGTGGGAATGAGATGCTTAAGAACTGTAACTATATTCTTGTAAAACAAGAAAAGATGGAGTGAAAATGAATGCTGAATGTTTATTGAATCCAAAGTAGCACACTGGGGTGATTTTGTCATATAGAGAGAATAAAGAAGGACTGAACAAGAAATACATGAAGGAAGAAGGAAAGAGATGAGGGGAAAAGGAAGACTAAAAAAATTTGGTGCAGTTGATGTGAATCTCAAAATGAGAGACATCAGAAATTCAGAGAATTTCAGGAGTTGCTTATTTCAGACAAAAAGAAGAGAACCAAATTGCTATTTAGCAATTGTATTTTTTTTATCATACAATAGAATAAAACTACCGGTATACTGTAATCTTATTTGAGATATTCACTGGTAACTTTACCTGGCAATGTAACATTTGCAAATATGGGTTGTCCATTTGTATTGCGAGTAGCTACGAACAGCTCCATCTGGTTGACAAGGAGACTATCACCTGACCTGGCATCTCTGAACAACCAAAGATGTTCTAGAAAAAAAAAATAAAGTTTGCGAGCAAGTTGTATACAAATATTGAAAAGTCACATATTTTTGTAGATACAAAGATTGCTGGAAGGGAATGTCTGTAATTTATTGGATTTAGTAAAATCCACAAAGATTAAGACTTTTATGGAATGGGAGACAATTACCAATATAAGAGGATTGTCAGAACCAGAGTGACACACAAGTAACTATGCAGATACAGTTGATATTTGTGATTGTGTTCTTTTGAGTCACCTTGACTCCTGGTGACTACCTAGACAAATCCCTGTAGTTTTCTTGGCAGCATTTTCAGAAGTGGCTTGCCCCGCCTTCTTTATACGGCTGTGTTTTGTTTGGCAGCTAATTTGACTATTATCCATTATTACCCCAGGGTTTATTTCTTTAATTTCCTAGATTCAAGAGCCCTGGTGGCACAGTGGTTAGAATGCAGTACTGCAGGTTACTTCTGCTGACTGCCACTGCCAGCAATTTGGCAGTTTGAGTCTCACTGGTTCAAAGTTGACTAGGCCTTCCGTCCTTCTGAGGTCAGTAAAATGGGGATCCAGATTGTTGAGGGCAACATGCTGACTCTATAAACCGCTTAAAGAAGGCTATAAAGCACTGTGAAGTGCTATATAAGTCTAATTGCTATTGCTATCTTTCCATTTTTGATAAAATACTGCATGCTATTTTTGTTTTTATGCCGTGTTGGTTATTATTTTTGCTGGTTTTGATGCTGCAAGTAGTCCTGCCAATTTTTATATTTATACTGAAATACAAGAAGATACATATGAGCACACCTTTATAATGAAAATATTTTCCAGAATCAGTCCATTGAAAATGCATTCATAAGGCTTTCCTGCTTACCCTAGTGCAGGAATAGCCACTGTTTCTTGGGCTCAGAAATGTGCCCTGGCATTGTCAATTTGTCCTGTCAATTTGCCCTGGCAACTACAAATGAAACTTTGCATTTGTATTGTTTTCCTGACTTTTTTTTTTTAAAAAAAAGCTGAAATTGCCTAGAGCTCTGCCAGCTTCTCCTAAAAGGAGAAACATCTACTCAAAAATAGACTGGGGGGGCGGGAAGTAGCATTTTCTTCACAACACAGGTGGGAAAGATTTTTTTAAAAAAGGGAAATCGACCAGGTCAGGGCTATAGCCACCATGTTCAGTATCATTGAAAAAGCTGAAGGCTACTTTTTCTAAGCTTTTCAGCAGAGAGAAACACATTTCCTCGCCCGGCGCTTTTATGTGCAGTCTGAAATCAACCGAAAGGCCAGCTTGTTTAACAAGACCTTCCTGTTTAAAGGCTAACCCTGCAGACCTCATCACCTCGGCATCACCCCACGGCTTTGTGCAGCCCGTTGCCTCAGGCAGAGAATCGGGCATCTCCGTCTTCCCCCAGCGGCTCCGGGGAAGTGAAAGACTTCCCCAATAAACATTTTGCAACGTTAACCCTTTGCAAGGTATTACAGCCCGACAGCTGAAAGGCGTCGATCCGCACGTCGCGCCACGTCCGTTAAACCCACCGCAAAGCGTTTAAACCCGCAGCGCGCCCTTCGCAAACTACCCACCCAGGTAGCTGTACATCCGGCGGCCGGTACCCGGTTTCAGGGTGGGATAGGGGCGCGGTTTCCCGTCGAAGTCCAGCCAGACGGGGCTCACCAAGCGGGGGGTGCGGTTGCAGAAAATAACTTGGCAAGGCTCCCGCGTGTTTACCGAGCACAGACGCCGAGCAGCGTCCTTCCGTTCTCGCTCCTCCTCCTCCTCCTCCCCAGGTCTCTGCGGCATCCTGAGCGCCTCGGGTCCGATCGAGGGGGACCTCCCGCCACCTAAATCGGGGAAGACTTATGCGCGCAGATGCCCGGGCACGTAAGCAGCCATTATTTTGTGGAGAAACAACCCCCGCCACTCCACGCATGCGCACTCTCGGCAGCCATTGTTTTGCGGAAATCGCGTGCCTTAGACGCGAAGGCCCCGTAAACGCTTGCGCAGTTCGGTTATTCTGGAGGGTTATGTTGTACGGTGGTGTTCTTTTTAGGGAAAAAAAACCCCACATATGACCAGCGTATAGCTCAGGGGTAGGCAACCTTGGCTCATTTGACTCGTGGACTTCTACTCCCAGAATTCCTGAGCCAATATGGAATTCTGGGAGTTGAAATCCACCAGTCATAAAAGAGCCAAGGTTGCCTAACCTGGTATAGCTGCTTTGCAACAATTACTTGAAAGATACATTATAATCCTATAGTAAAATGGTTATTAGTAAGGGAATATCATTTAGCTGAGATTTGGATTAATAAATTGTGGGAAGCAATGATGAAATAATAGAGAATTAAAAAAAAAATTCCAGCACTTGTTATAAACTATCTGGTTAGTTCCAAAAAGTATTTTAATTCACATTTTTAAAGTGCTCTGAAAATTACTATTTACTTATTACTATAGTCTACTCTGATGAAAATAATTTCATTATTATTTTGTGTTTTCCAGGTGAGTTACAAAAGTGCATAAAACATGTTTAACAACTCATAATAAAATAAAAATATTAATCTTGATGCCAGATACAGAGTTAATGACTCTGCCAAATGGTGCGTAATCCCAATATTAAAAAATGAGAAATGCTGGCTCAGGAATTCTGGGAGTTGATGTCCACGAGTCATAAAAGAACTAAGGTTGCCTACCCCTGGTCTAGGTTGTATGGCAGAGTAAAATTGGTATTTTCCCTTCTTTTTCAAATAAAGCCAAAGCTATAATATAAGTAACTGAAGTGAGGAGCGTCAAAAGTAGCTTTCAGGGCTTCCGGTTCTGGGTCGTGGCAGTGCAGTCGAGCGAAGGGAGTCGTCCCTTTGCCAGCTGAGTTTCCTCTGTCGGTAGAGAGGGTCGAAAAGTCGCTCTGGAGGAGCGACCACCGTTGAGGAGGCTTCTCAGATGGTTGCAGAGGGGTGTCGTTGTCCTCTGTACTCCGAATATCTTCTTTGGGCCGACAGAGTAAAGATCGGCCAGTAAAATGGTCAATCATTTAGCTGTGCCGACCGTAAGCCACAAGATCACCTAAGCAAACAGACCCACCACTTTTTTTTACCTCTATTTTCTTTCTTTTTCCTGTGAAAAGCCTTTTTCTTTGGAATTATTTCCCTTTTTGAAGAAGCGGCGTTTTAAATGGGGGAAGAGAAGCTTAAAATTGATTTTTGTTTTAATGGTTGATTTTATTTTTGGAGATCGGGGAGCCTCAAGAAAGTTTTTTATAGAGATTTAACATGTTACATACTTGGAGAATATTGTTTTCTTTTATTTTTTATGGTGTCCAGGAAAACTGAATATTTGATTAACTTTGATTATTTTCTGGGGGATATTTTCAGGTGAAACTACTTATTATACTTGTTACTTTCTTCGCTTGGAATTTGTCTTTGGCTTTCATTTAGTACAAAGGAGGAAACCTGTTTAGAACTTACGTATAAGTATATTTTGGACAAAATTCTGGAAAATACGAAGAAGATAATTGCTTGCACAAAGGAGATTTCTTTACATCGACAAGGTAAAGCACAAGGATTAAATGAAACAGCAGTTTATGTTCAAGAGACTTATTCTCAGTTCACTGAGATGGAGGAAGCAAATTCACAGTCAGACTATTAATTGATATTGGAAAAAAGACTTGATATTAATGAACAAATGACTTATAATAAAGAATTGAAGATTTTACCTCAGAAGGACAAGCTGACTTGCAGACACCATTTGATTCTCTGATAGAGAAAAAACTGTTGGAAGAAAAGCAAAACCTGACTAAAGAGGAAGATACTAAAAAAATGATTTCAACTAAACCTTATGCAATCTTTAAAAAGATGGGAAATGATGTTCTGCCACAAGCTATTTAGAATAGCTCCAACCCTTATATTAACCTAATAAAATGTACAATGGGAATCTCCCTTTTGGTGTGTACAATGTGGCAGGCGATAATGGGAGAGCTATTTGTGGAAATAGAGGCTCGACTATGGAAACCTATTTACAATAGAAAGAAACACAGAATAAGATATAAATATAAAATTTGAGATTATAATTATGAGTGGTAAAGGTTTTATAGTGACTCGGATTGGTTTGGATTTGGAATTTGTCAAAAGGGAGACCATTATGAAATGATTTAGAACTTAATATTGAAATTCAGCAAGAATAAGTTCTTCTTTTTTTCCTTTTTTTTTTTTTAAGAATGATAGATTATTTTTTTCTCTTGGTTTATCCATGTCTTTTTCTCTTTGGTATAATTTTTTTTTCTTTTCTTCTTTGCTTTTTCTTTTTCCTTTTCTTTTTTTACATGTTCTTAATATTAGAGATGATATAATGAGAAAAAGATTGAAATACTGGAAGAGATGGAATTAATAATTAGAGAATTATTGAAAAAGAAAAGAATATAAGTGAGAAATATAAGAATTTAGCTTTGGAATTAATATTTTAAAATAAGAGAATATTTGGGGCACCTGAATAGTAAATAAATATGCTAGTTTAAGATTAAATATTTGAAAAAATAAAGCGTAAAACAGGATCTTTGGGATAGATAATGAATTTTTGTAAACTTTTATTAATGAAATTTACATGCAGCAATATATTTAATGAAAATTTGTTTTGAAGTAGTATCAATGAGATTTTAATAATTTAGAGAGCGTTTATATTTAAGCGTTTTAGATGTAGCGATATATTAATGAATTGATTTTAGAAATACATTAATCTGATTATAATATCTTAAATAAATGGAGAGTTTTAGTTTAAGTTTATGTGAAAAATTATAGGTTTGTATAGAATAGATATTGGGCTGTTAATTTTTTTTATTGATTAATGGAACTTACGTTTAGATACATTAATGAATTTATTTGAGAAATGTATTAATTTGATTATAATATCCTATATAGATAGAGAGGGAAATTTTAAGAAATATTGTGTATATATTTACAATGTTATTGTTTTTAATGGATCACCATATCTCCACGTTGGTTCTCAAGCCTTGGTGTAAAATGGAAAACTAATAAAAAATTGTTATAAATATAAAAAATAGCTTTCAGTACAAAATGAGCTTTTTCATGTAATTGCAGAAGAGGGCCAGTCAGTAACAACTTCTGATGTCACTTCTTTCGCTTTAACCATCTTTTCCTTCTTTTATGGCCCAAGTGTAAAACTCGAATGTATCACATAATGTATGACATATCGTGACTTTTTTGCCTTTGAGCTGGGGTGGGCGTGGGCTGCACATGACACATTTGGCCCAGGGGCCGCCAGTTTGACACCTGTTTTACGCCATGCACTGTTATTGTCCTTGCTAATGGTTAAGAATAAACATTTAATATTGCATGGATTGTGTAATATAAAGTTATGACAATGTGAACTTGCCCAACAACGATATAGTGTTTTAATAATGGTTAAAAGTTGATAGCAACTGGAATATGCAGCGTTAAATTATGATGGAGGAGGGAGAGCCATTTCTCCTGCCTTGAGCTCCCGGAGGAAAGGTACCGTAGGATATAAGTCCATTTCTTTAAAAAAAAAAAAGCTTATGTCTTTCCAGAGAAAATTTATCATGGGGCTGAGGAAAGCTGAACAAAATAAGGAACTTTTCAAGGTTTTTTATTCTCAAGCTGTGTATTCTTGAAACATTTTATAATTCAAGAAAATTCTTAACTGAAAATTTAACATCAAGGAAGTGAATTGGATGAGTTTACTTTCAGAAACGTTTAACTTAAGCTCACATCAAAAAACCTCATTCCTTTTACAGTGTTGAGATAACCATTTACAAGGAAATTCTTTACCTTGCTTACGTAAACAGGAGCCCCTTTTTACAACACTGAAGGCTGTATAATATTAAGAGCCACCTTGTTGAGTATGAAGCATAATACTATATGAACATGCACTCAAGGCAACCTTTTAGCATGTGCCTGTGACATTGGAATCCCAGATTCAACCCACTTTTAGTTACGGAAGCTCCCTGAGTGCAGTGGAGAAGCTCCAGATGCCACTGACTGCCAGTCCAGGCTATCTCTTAAGGTTTTTCTTCAGGGGGCAAAAGAAAATAATAAATAATATTTATTATTATACAATAAATATAATAATAAGTATCTAAATGTACAGCAAAACTCATGCTATAAGCACATTAGCAGTTAGGGTTTAGCTCTTATGTTTTCAGTTAATTTTAGATCCTAAAAGTATTTTCTTTGCTACCTACCTCTAATAAAGTGGTGCCTCAATACTGCTTAAAAGACATGCTCCTTACCTTAATCTTTTTAGAAGGAACAAGATAGTTCAAAATTTATACTACCGTAGCTGTACTTTCTATAGGAAATGCCAGGAATACTCTTTATAGTATTCAAAACTAAGAAGAAGGATTAGGTTTAAAGTTACACGTATTAAGCTATTGAGATATCACTAATTAAGAAGTGCCCAATCATATCTGGTTTCAAAATTCTTCACTTGCAAAAGATATTTAATTAGGTAAGTTCTTCATTTATAAAAGGTTGATTACAATAGAGCAGAGCAAGAATCAAAATTGATTCTACGTCTCCTTTTCTCAAGAAAGCTTCATTAGAATATATTTATTGTTCAAGAATTTATTTAATATTTAAGAGACTGAATATACAGGCTTTAAACTCTGTTATAAACTAAAAGAAATTAATGTAATTGTAAATATGAATAACAGGTTTCTGATTTTCTCTGAATTATGGTGTTAATTATGAATAAGTAAATCTAAAATATGAACAAGTAAACCTAAATAAACTGCCTTACAAGAAGCTGCTTGTTGATTTGATATGTATGGAAAAGAAAGGACAAGTAATCCTTGTAAAAACTTTATTATATACAGGAAAAAAATATCAACATCTAATATGAGATGCAAAGAAAGCTTTGCAAGAGTATGGAATAACAAACTGATGGTAAGATGTATATTTATTGTATAGATCTTGTTAATTTGGACCATGTTTGAGAATCCTTACAAGTTACTGTCATTCAGCTACTAAGTACATTCTTTAGTTATTATTTTCAGGTTAAAATTAACTGATAAATATTCTCATGTATCCTGCAAGTTCCAATCAACAATACATATAAAGTTTATTACTGCATTTTTTTAGCCTGAAATTTGAACAATGACAAAAGAAAAGTATAAAGATTCATACAACATCTTCTCAGCTAGAGCTATAACAAGCATATGACAGAAAACAAACAATTTAATTCTTACACTGAGACAGCAGATAAGGAAACAACACTAATGAAATCACAGTGAACTTTATTGTTCCTATTTTGGGCAATAAAGTTTGTAAAACTACTAACTTTATTGCCTCTATTTTAGATGCCAAACAAAATAAAATGGAACCAATTGTCCAGTGGCAAAATATTATACACCTTCTTACCTAAAGATACTCTAAACTGAACAATATTAAAACAATCTTCTAACACTATATTTTGAAATATCTCTTCTGAAACTATTAGCCTTTTCACCAAATTGGTAGCTTCCCTTATGAATATGAAAGGATTTGCACTTAAATTGACACAGTAACTGTCATTTTCAGGCTGACAGTAAAACTGCAAGGTTTATCAACTTACTACAATTTCCTATTTAAGTGCCTTCAAGAGCTTCAAGTTGGATTTGGCACAGTATGTTTACTCAGTAGTTCATTTTGCTGAACCCACTTAATTCTGAAGCACCCACCAATTTGGAATCTCAAGTAAAGCTATTGGATTATGGAAGAGTGCTAGGCCTGCCTAAAATGTTACCAATATGATCTTCTCTGCTCAATTATTTCTGAAGTGCGTTTCAAGAGATATACAGCAGCACAGAGGCCTCCAACATTCACCCATATTGTATGAGACTTTTCCCACAGGTGCCCCATTTTTGACAACGCCTGAAATACAAAACAATTCAAAATTTAGCAAAGGTTAGCAAATCAACTTCATTTGGTAAATAAATGCCTAAAGGCAAAGTCTTATTGCAATTCTGAGCTGAAATTTCCATTATTTTCGCTAAATAGATATATAACAGGAAAGTAGTTAAGAAGTTAAAAAGCCTGCTTCTGTTTCTTTTAGGAATCTAATTTTGAGGCACATTTTCAAAATCCAGAATTATACAGATTATAATTTTCTAAGGAAAAAAGGAGGGGGGAATGGAAAAGGAATGTAATATTGGCATTCTTTGAAGATGCCTTTTAATAGGTATACAAAGACATTCATTAGTGGATAACCTGCATAAAATTGTGTTATTCTTTTCATCTCTAGAGCCCACCAGTGTCCTTTTTTTGACTAAATTAGTAACACAAGATTTACAGCTATTACAGGGAGATATCTTAACTTGGGTAATGCATACTGAAAAAAGAAATGGGAAGAATTATAATTAAAGAAATATAATTGGAGGTGTTTTTTAAGTTCCCCTTGAAAAAATTATCCAACTTACAGTTCCTCGCATACAAACTGCAATTTATCCTGGGCAAGATAAATATGACCTCTTATTTACCTTTACTAATGTAGAATTTGCCTTGTTCCCAGAATGTTGATAGACAAGACACCAAAAATTATTGCAATATAACAATAGCATTTAAGTTTATATACTTCCCTAGCACTCTCTGGGAGGTTTACAATATAAACACTATTTGCATATTGCTCTCAACAATTTGGATCTTCATTTTACCAACTTTGGAAGGATGGAAGGTGAGTCAATCCTGAATCCCATCAGGATCGAACTCCAGACTATGGGCAGAATTTGCCTGCAATACTGCATTTAATCACTGCACTACCAGGACTAACCTATGCCCTATGTATGCTCTAATATATCCTATGTAAAGATTGCTTTGAAGATAACATACTATTACCATAGGTTAGCAATCTATGCCTACCTTGGCAAAGCATTTCCTATCTTCAGTCAACAGTACAGCTCTCCCAGTCCTTGGCCTACAAATTCGGGCCATCTCCATAAGGCTAGATGGGTAGAGATTCCAGTTCTTCTTCTTGGACCCCATCCTACAGTGAAATTGATTATCAATAGAAAGTGAGTAACTTTAGAAGTGTTCACATCCTTAATTTTTTCTCCATATTAATAGTTGTCCAACAGTGATATATCACAAAACTTGTAACAATTTAAATTAGAATGAGAAACTATAAGAAGCCAGGAAGTTGTACTATTTCTCCAGTTTTTATTCACTTAAACTAATTATGATATAAACAATCACTTTCATGCTATAACATATTTCTAAAGTAATGGGCTAAACTTCCAATGATTTTTAATCATGTACAGCCAGTCTCAAGTTAGAAGAAAATAAAAAACTTAAATAAACATTAAACTATTTTTAATTAGTATTTTAAACAATGAGTACAAGTAGTCCTTGACTTATGGCTGGTTGTTTAATGACTGAAGTTCCAATAGACTCCCTCAAAAGTTACTTAGGACCAGATTTTGAAGAAGCAATCCTCCCCCCCAGTCATATGATCGCACTGTGGGTGCATGGCAACAGGCTCAATTGTAGCATCACACAGACAAGAGACTGAAATTTTCAATGTTTTTTGCTGATGTTTACTTTCGTTTTTTGGCAAAAAAAACCAAACAAACCATGTACCATACTCGAATTACAATCACTTGACAATGGGATACTGCAAATAGCTGGAACTAGGAGACCTGTCATAAATACCCCTAATTCAGTATTGTAGTAACTTTGATGGTTGCTGAAGGAGTGTACACTGAGGACTACCTGTACTTTAAACATGCATTATCAAACAAATATATGAAGGAAGAGTGAATGAGTGAAAGACAAAGAAGATAAAGATGAAAAAGGTGCAGTTTAATAGTTTTAACTTTCTTTCAAAATTATTTCTTATAAATTTTTTAAGGTTCGTCATACAGTCTACCAGATATTCAGACTGGATTTGGCAATTTTTATCCACGTATTATGTCCTCCCAAAGACCTGGAACAGGCAGGTGATGAGGTTTAATAATGTCAAAGGTATTTTGTAAGCTGTTCTGAGTAACCTGTCAATAGCTGTTGCAATTGACTGATGGTGAATTTGTCAATGCTGATGGTGTTTGAGGGGTGCTGCAATTGTTTTGGGATTGCACCCAAGATGCCTATTGGTGCTATCTTTGCTTTCTTTTGCTATAGTTATTCTATTTCTATTTGCAGGTCTTTGCATTTTCTTATCTTCTCCAGTTCTTTCTCTTCTCTTCTGCTGTCTCCACATACTCAAAGCCTATTATCCAGACTTTTTGTCTTTTTTTTATCGCCAATTATTAATAATAATGATAGTCGTTTCTTAGCTCAAAGGAGAACATGATATAAACTAGATAAATATAATAATTTCTATAAATTGCATGTACTTTGCCTAATCACTGTATTACCTAATTAGTAGATGACATTCTGAAGTATTTCTGATACACAAGTCCATACAATAGACAGTAATTTTTTGCTCCAAAGGCTATTTTTGCATCTTACAATATTGGTCAGAATCAACATATTTCTTATCAGTAGGGCAGTGGAAGAAATTAAAGAAACATGTATCTCTTATATTTGGACAGTAATTCATTCGTCAGTAATTACCACAACCCTGAAGAAAGAAGAGAATCATCCAAATATATGGATCTTTACCTTTTTCCAAATGGCAGATCTGTTACAATGACATCCACAGAGCTGGACCTCAGGGGGAGATTGCAGCTATCCCATTGGATGCTATCTATGGGTATTCCTGTAGAAGTGCTGTTATAAATTAGAAATTCCCATCAGCAGTAAATTATTTCAAGGATAAAGAATTGCTCAGATCCACACATCCACAATTATGAACTGATACTTTCTATTATTTGGATGTTTGAAAAAACAAATATGAGATTATACTACTTTTTTATTAATTCTTACCTTTCTTTACTTTGAATTTGCTTCAATAATGAGGAGATATTATTTGCTGTTTTCTTCACAGCCTGTAAATGGTTATCCCCAGCAATATGATAACAATTTGGCCACACAGTAACCCCCTGTGAATGAGAAACATCTGAAAACTATTTTTGAAAAACCAATATATATAATATATTTTCATAACAAAAATTGAGACTAATGTTTAGTTCACTACTATCTAGAGCACTCACTTCAGAGATGCCCTGGAAAGGAAGGGATTTGCTAGCAACAATTCATTTGTACTGTTGGGAGGCAGGGTTTCTAACAGACAGCCGATCGTTGAGCAAACTGCTTCTCTGCCTACTCTAAATTGCCAGAAGCATTTCCTTGCTGTGTACATGAAATCTGCCCATAATTCAATAATATATATTTAATATAAACCTAACTGGTTAGATTTCTTGCATTTTTGAGATCTAGAGTTTCTTCTGTATATTCCTGACTTTTTGGCTATACAGTATCATCCTTAAGTAAGGATGGCAATTTGGGCTGGAATTTCCACTGCTAAGTGATACACTTGTAAAGCGTGATGTCATGTGACCACATTGCTTAGCTATGGCAATCCTGGAAATCCTAGTTGCCATTGTTAACTGAATCCCACTGGTGTTAGTCAAGGACCCACTTCAATCCAAACTACCCTTGGCTTGGTCCCTCCAATCCCTGATCCTGGGTAAGATAACAGATTGCCTTCTCTTCAACTCCCCACACTGGCCTTGTCTCTCCATTTCTTCCCTATTGACTGCCTTGCACCTGGCGCCTTTTGCCATCCTGCTGTTCCTGGTGGCCCTGTTATCTTGTGCTTGCTAGCCCTGCCAGCCTTGCCATCCCCAGCTGAACCTTTGCCATCTTTTTCCTGTGCTGGCTGATGAGGTGTGCCCTGCCTGGCCTTTTGTGAGGCAGCTGCTGGCTGCGCCAGGCCTCCTTCCCGAGGCTGCACTCACTCCTCGCCCAAATTGCCTGCAGCCTTCTTGCAAGGTTTCAGAACCCTAGAAAGCCTTGCAGAGTCAGCAGGCTGGCTGAGCCAGCAGAATGCAGGGCGGCCAAAAGGGTAGAGATGGGGCAGGGAGGTAGACAGGCGAGGGGACTTGAAGCACTAATGTGGCTGTAAGGATGGGCAGTCTGCCAAGTGCCTGGATTTTTTGATTACATGACTGTGGGAGAGCTGCAACAACTATAATTTCAGAGATGGTTAAACTACCATTTGTTCAGGGGTAGCACAATTTCTAATGACTATCAGTAATATAATCAGCTCAGAGCAACCTGTTCTTTTGGTCTTCCATCCTCTATCTGCTGCCTCCCCTCAGTCAAGCAGTACAAAAACTTTTCCAAATTCAACTACAGAGTGCTATTGAAGTACTGCAGTTACTGAAGAGTTTAGGCAAGCCATAGGCTCGACAACTCTGCAACAATTCTGTAAGGATTCTAATAAGACACCAAAGAAACATGCACCATTTCTTGTACATGTAGTACAGTAGTGATTTAACTTATATATCCAAAGCTCAGACAAAATCTAAGATGTGCAGATCTCCCCCCTATCAGTAAGTTTAAAATGGTTATATACACCCTCCCCCCATTTTATAATAAGCCATATTTCAGAAGACTTACTGCTATGACAACATACTAGAGTCACTCTGCATGCTGATAAGATTAATATGATGTACTAATCTCAACTTCAAGGCCAGAAACTGAAGTTGCCAATAGATATTCATATTTACTCAGAAATAAAGAAGGCCCAATATGCTTGAGGACAGGGAAGCAAGGAGAGAGCAGTACCTCTATTGGTATAGCACCGGTCCCGCACATAGGATCAATTATTACATCGGCTGGCTGTGGATCACACAATCTAAACAAAACCAGGATAAAAAGAAGCAGAGTATAGTATTAAGACACAAAGGAAATTCTAACTGACCACATCATGGAGTGTGTGAAGAGCAAAATAACAAAACAAGCAAACAAAAACCGAAAGCAAAAAGCTGGCATACATACAAATGTAATATTATTAGTTTTTTTCATTCCCCTCTTCCACCACATCAATGGTGGACACCATCAAGAACATTTACATACAGTGCCATCCTGCAAGTGTGCAATTTGAAGAAAAGGCCTTCCAAATGATCCTAAGACCAATTGCATTCAATAGCTTCCTAGCCTTTTAACTTAGCCAGTGCAATCAGTCTCATGATCATTCAGAAGACTTCCAAATCATATGATTTGAAGAAAACACATCCTGAATGATCACAAGAATGGAGCCCACTTGTTGGATGGTGTGCGGTGGCTTCGTTGGGAAGGCCATGCCTCTCATTGGCTGAGCACACTTGTCAGCATCTTCAGAACAACACAAAGATAAGTGAACCTAGGCATGGTGGGGCAGAAAGAGGGCTTGGGCCTCCCGGTCTGTGACAGGTTTTCATTTGCTATTGGGGGCTAGGCCTCCCAGTGCTTCTGCACTCCAAGGCACTCTGCGCTCCAGATAAAGACCAATACAATCAATTAACATCTGCAACTTGGAGAGTCAGGATTGTGGTCATTGAGCAAAGTGGCCACTTGAGCACCTCACTTAACAACCATTTTACTTAGTAACTGTAATTCTGGTCCCAATTGTGGTCATGTTGAGGACTACCCACATTCAGATCCAAAGTAGAAAAGGTGCAGCATCATGAAAATAATTTCTTAGAAGTGGATAAGGTTGCAATCATCTTGTTGCACTATGTTGGTACCTCCGTAACTCAAATATATATTTTCTAGAACTATTCAGTTACTGTGTGAGTTAAGGAAAATGTATAGCTGCTTAAAGGAGGAATCAACAGGGGCAGCAGCGTGCTTTCACTTTCTGAAGTGTCTTTTCCACTTCACATCTGAATAGCTTCACATCCATAACAATTTGAAAATTTGGACAGCTCACTGTGTATTCCTATAAAAAATATTAACATATCAGCAAAAACTAAAAATTACAATGAAACATGCCAGAAGGATATCTTGCAAATTGATTTAAGGAACTTTAAAATAATGTATACTGAATCAAAACCTCCTTATTTCATTCATATATGCTGTACTGTATGGCAACCAAAATGATCCACCCATATTAGTGAAAAGATTACAATATCTGGAATTCTCCATCTTGGAAAAAAGTTATTACATGATTAAGGAGCCATGGTGGCACAGTGGTTAGAATGCAGTATTGCAGGCTAACTTTTCCTACTGCCAGCAGTCCAATCCTGACCAGCTCAAGGTTGACTCAGGTTTCCATCCTTCTGACATTGGTAAAATGAAGACTCAGATTGTTGGGGGCAATATGCTGACTCTGTAAACTATTTAGAAAGGGCTGTAAAGCACTGTGAAGCAAATGTAAGTCCAAGTGCTATTGCTGTTGCTACTAATGTACAGTATATAAAATCATGCATGGTATGGAGAAAGTGGAGTTCTCCCGCTCTCAAAACACTATGACTACTAATCGTATAATGGACCTGATTGGAAGTAAATTTAGAAAAGGCAATAAAAAGCAGCTCTTCTCATACAACATGATTAAACTGTGGAATTCACTCTCAGAAGATATGGTAATAACCTGGAGGTTTGGATGGCTTTAACTGAATACAGTTATGGAGAACACATCTATCAGGGGTTATTAGTCTTGACAGCCAAGTATTATCACTGGACATGGGCAGAGATTCCATTTGAAGGAGAACAATGGCAGAAGGGTATTATTCACCTCCTGCTTTTAGCCATACAGACATCTGGTTGGTCTCTTAAGAAGCAAAAAGCTGGACTAAGATAGAATTTGCCTTGATCTGGCAAGACTATTCTTATATTTTAAGATGTATATGATTTTTTTTTAAAAAAACCCAAACATATTTCCATTAGTAGAAACATAGCTTCCTGCATGCCAAGACAACTTAAAAGGGAGAATACCTTTCACCATGGAAATGATGATCTAGGAAAGCATTTCTGTTAGAGAACAAGTGACAAGGCAATATTGCTATTATACTCTTTGGATATGTAGGTCCTCCCCTCTATAAAGATGTACTCTAAAGAGAGTTTCCTGGAATTGTGAGAAAGTCTCCATGTGCTCCAGAGAAAGAGAATTAGTAAAGATCTCCCATCTTTACATCATCCCACCAGCAAGAGCAATTCCCTGATTGGAATACTCCTATCAGCAGAAAAATACTTAGACCCGATCTATTAGAAATAGATGAGCTTCCGGTACGGGGCGACGGCGATGGCGGCTACTTACTAGCCGTCCAGCTGGGAAGGTGTCAGAACCGCGGAGCGCAGCGCGTATCAGCTGGCCCGCGGTTCGGAATCCCCTTCCCGGGCAAAGGGAAGGGGTAGAGAATGCAGGAGTAGAGGTAGAACCCCTGAACCCCCTCTGGATTTATTCCTAGACGGGGTGGAAGGAGTGTTCCCTCGGAGCTCCTGCTGATCTCCGCCTCCCAGCTGTTTTTGCTTCTTTGGAAGCAAAAGAAACCGCCGCCTCTATCCCCGCGATTACAGTGTATTGGTGAGTAACTTTTGAAGCGGACAGAGCGGTTTAAAGGATTCTTTTTTTACTCTAGTGTTTTATTTCTTTTTTTTAGTTAGTTTTGGCTATCTTTCCTTTGTTCTTTCTTGCTGGCATGGAGAGAGAAAATAAGATGGCGTTTTGAAAGTGTCGGAGTTTTTTTTTTTTTTCTTTGTCTCTTTGTTCTTAAAGTACTGGACTTAAATGACTGTTCCTGATCTCTTTGTTCCTGGTTTTGGATTTTTCTTTTGATTTTTTTTCCTTTTTATTTTTTTGGACTTTTAAGGATTATAGTATTTTTGCCTTTTTTTAAATTCTGTTTCCCTCCTCCCCTTTTTTGGGGGGAGAAGGGAAGAGAGAACTGTATTTCATAAAATGGCTTCAAAGAGACAGCCGCCTTCTATAACATCTAAGGTGGTTTCCTCTCCCACAACTCTAATTGCACAACAACCACAACAACAACCCAAACATGTACCACCGACCCAGTCACCACCCTCCCCTCCTTTGCCAGGCCTGTCAGCACATGAGATTAAAGGTATAATGGGAGATGCTGTATCCCAAATCAGAGATGAAATGAAGCAACTTGTTACACAGATTAAATCTGAAATTAAAGAAGAGTTAAGTGGGATGAAGGTCTCATTAGAAGACAATAATACCATCTTGCGGCAAGATATAGTTGCAGCTGTATCAGGCTTGGCTACGGTGGTGGAGAAGCTGGACTCGAGAGTGGAGGAAGTGGCAGACAAAGTTGACTCTTTTGAGGATAAATTCCAAGATATGGAAAGGAAGATGGAGATTTCACAAGAAGATATCCTTATGTCTCAGTACAGAGAAATGGAGTATGCCCTGAGGATCAGGGGTCTTAAGGAAGACATGAATCAAGACCTGATGGAGATGGTGCTTACTGATTTAGCTGTTGCTACGAATATGGATAAAGGAGAATTACGCAGTGAAGTTGAAAAAATTTACAGAGTTAACTCCTGGATTGCGAAGCAGAAGAATTTGCCTAGAGATGTTGTGATTTATTTTACAAAGAAGTCTCTGCGCAACGAAATTATACAAGCTTTTTATAATAAGAGATTCCAGATTGCTGCCCAAGATATCATCATTTTAAAGGAAATCCCATTAAAAATTTTAAGAAACAGGAAAGATTTTGCTTTCCTAGTTAACGAGCTTAAAGCCAGATTGATGCCATTTAGATGGGAGATCCCGACGGGTATTGTTCTGAGCCATGCGGGGATGCGTTACAGGCTGAATACGGTTGATAAAGCTAAAGAGTTCTACAATACGGTCCTGGGTGCAGGCTCAGCTTCATCTGTTCAGAAACCCTTGAGTGGCAAAGAGTTGGAACAGCAATCTGAAGCATTAGGTCTGGTCTCTGCTGGGATGCTGCAAGCTGAATGGCAACGTCAAACAGAGGTTAAAGAGCAGAGGATGACCCGTGCAGCATATAGACATAAGGAGAAGGAGCAACGCAAGAGAGAGACTAAAGAATCTTCTTCCGAAAGTGTTTCATTGCCGGTGGGAGGAGCAAGACCTAAGAGTTCTGCAACACATGCAGCAATGGCAGATCTCCAGGGAGTCTTCTCCAGGCTCCTGTCTAAGGGAGATGGCAAAGTTCCTGACCTGGAATGTTAACGGTTTGAATTCCCCACAGAAAAGAAGGAAAATTTTTTACTATTTAAAGCAACATAACAATGATGTTATTTGCTTACAGGAAACTCATATTTTACTTAAAGATCAGAAGTATTTAGTTAACGCCCGTCTGGGATCTCATTTTGTATCTTCTGCTCCTGGAAAAAAGGGGGGAGTGGTTATCTATGTGAAGCAAAATTTACCAGCTTGTCTGGTAGAATCAGATCCCCAAGGAAGATATGTGATGATTGAACTTGGTTTATATGGTAAGAAAATACTTATAGTGGGACTATATGCACCAAATCAGCAACAGGAACAATTTTATAGATTGTTACATCAAAAAATAACTTTGCTGGACTATAGATCCGTGGTACTAATGGGTGATTGGAATGGTGTCTTAGATATACAAAGGGATAAGAAAGGTTCTTCTCCTCTTTTTAAACAGGCAAAATTACCTAAAGCTTTTTTTGACATGAAGGAGGATTGGGAATTAAGGGATTACTGGCGGGAATGTAATCAAGAGGAGAGAGACTTTACCTTTTTTTCAGATAGACACCAATCCTTTTCAAGAATTGACTTCTTTTTGATTACAACGGACTTATACAATAGAGTAAAGAATGTAAAGATTTTTCCTAGATCGTTGACGGATCATAGTCCAGTTTGGATGGAGCTGATTCAAGAAAAAGAGGAGAGAAGATCCTGGAGGGTGAATGAAAACTTATTCAGACAAGAAAAGAATGTTCAAAAGTTAAAGGAGTGTTTAAAGGATTATTTTGCTTTAAATATGTATAAGGGGACTTCAATGTCAATGGTATGGGATGCAGGTAAAGCATTTATGCGTGGGATCTTGATAAAAATGAATAATTTTCATAAGCAAAAGCAGACTCAGAAACGTAAAGAATTGGAAGATGAAATTAAATTAAAAGAAAAGTCTTTGATTTTAAATCCTTCAGATGAAAGCATTAAAGAATCTATAAAGTTGTTAAGAACACAATTTAATATGTTGCTGGCGGATCAAGCTGCAACTAACTTATTGTTTATGAAACAAAATACATTTTGTAATGCCAATAAACCAGGGAGATGGTTGGCCTATCAATTAAGAAAGAAACAGAGCAGAGAATAATAGATAAAATAAATTATAAGGGTAAATTAGTTTTTCAGAAGGAATTGATCAAGAAATCCTTTTTAGACTATTATCAAAAACTATACAAATCTACTAATGTGCAAATCTTAGATATAAACAAATACTTAAGCGAGGCTAGTTTTCCCAAATTGACAGAGGATCAGAAACATGAAATTAATGGCTTAATTACTAAAGAGGAAATTGTGATAGCAATTAAACAATTGAAATCAGGGAAAGCACCGGGTACGGATGGGCTGACAGCTGTTTATTATAAAGCTTTAATGGAGGAGATGATCCAACCATTAGGTGATCTTTTTAATGATATCTTACAGGGCTCAGAGATTCCTCCTTCATGGCGTAGTGCTTTCATATCTTTGATTCCAAAGGAGGATCAAGATCTTACTTTACCAAAGAATTATAGACCTATATCTCTTTTAAATGTTGACTATAAGATATTTGTTAAAATCCTAGTAAATAGGCTTATGAGGGTTGTGCATCATCTTGTGCATAAAGACCAATCTGGGTTTATAACTGGTAGGTATATGAAAAACAATGTTAGACAAATCATTAATTTATTAGAATATTTAGACAAGAACAACCAAGTCCCCGCAGGGCTGATATTTTTAGATGCTGAAAAAGCCTTTGATCAACTGAATTGGCATTTTATGTTAAGAGTAATTGAAGAGATGAACTTTGGTGAAAAGATATTACAAGCTCTTACGGTAATATATCAAAAACAAACGGCACAACTTATTGTCAATGGAGGTTTGTCAGAGGTTTTTACAATAGAGAAAGGTACTAGGCAGGGATGTCCATTATCACCGTTGTTGTTTGTTCTAACACTGGAAATACTGTTGATCAAAATTCGAGAGTCGCAGGAAATTAAAGGAATAGAAGTTAACAAAAAAGAATACAAGTTAAGAGCTTTTGCGGACGACTTGGTGGTTACTTTGTCGCAACCTACCCATTCTGCAGTAAAGTTATTACAGTTGATCCATTATTATGGTTTGGTTTCGGGTTTTAAGATTAATGTTAATAAGACTAAAATCCTACCTAAAAATATGACTATTCAGGAGAAGCAGACTCTGGCTAACTTGACGGGTTTTGAGATTGTTAATAAGGTAAAATACTTGGGGTGATGTTATCTGTTTCTAATGCAAAATTATTTAAAAATAACTATGAAAGGTTGTGGGCTAGTGTACAGAAGGACTTGAAGAATTGGGAGAAGTTGCAATTATCTCTCATGGGAAGAATTGCAGTGATAAAAATGAATATTCTACCCAAGTTTCTTTTTTTGTTCCAAATGTTACCGATTTTGAAGAATGAGATTAATTTAAGTGAATGGCAGAAAGGCGTCAATAAATTCATTTGGGCAGGGAAAAAGCCAAGGGTTAAGTTTAAAATCATGCAAGACTTCCGTGAGAGAGGTGGACTCAAGGTACCGAATTTGAAATTATACTATGATGCGGTGGTTTTAACACTAATTAGTGACTGGGTAAATTTGACAAATCTTGAGATACTCCATCTAGAGGGATGGGATTTACTTTTTGGGTGGCATGCCTATTTAATATTCAATAAAAAAGTGGATTGGGCTTTCAAATCTCACATTATAAGAATTTCCTTACTTAGGATTTGGAGAAAATATTATAAAGGTGATTTTAAAGTACCATTATGGGCTATACCTTGGCATGCGATAGAAGGAATAAAAAGAGGTGTTAAAATGGACATGGTGTCTTACAGACAGCTACTCAGATGGGATGGACAAAATTGGCAGTTAAAATCACGGGAAGAGTTAGCACAAGAAAATATTATTTATTCTTGGTTTCAATACAGGCAATTAGTAGACAGATGGAAGGTGGATTGTAAGGTGGGTTTTCTTAGAGAAGATGAAAATTTTATTAAGCAAGTGAAGGATCAAAGACAAACTCATATTAAGAGAATTTATGGGGTTCTAGTTGAATTGGACTCAAACGGAATTAATTAAAGATTGTATGATTAGATGGGCGCAGAACTTTAGTGAACCAGTTCCATTGGATACCTGGGAAACCATTTGGGTGAGAAATGTCAAATTTACACAAGCACAGAATTTAAGGGAGAATTTTTATAAAATGTTTTATAGATGGCACCTTGATCCACAAAAAATGTCTTTCATGTACCCTGACTTACAGCCTAAATGTTGGAGATGTGGTTGTTTGGATGCTACCTATTATCACATTTGGTGGTCGTGCAGAGAGATAAAAGCCTTCTGGATTAAGATATGGTGGAATATTCAGAGAATTTTTAGAAGGAGGGTAAAATTTACTCCACAATTATTTTTGCTAGGCATAGTTACTGATTGTGATACAAAGGAGGTTATATTGATGTTAAATTTGATTACAGCCGCAAGGCTGTTAGTAGGACAATACTGGAAGAAGGAATCTTTGCCTACAATGCAGGAATGGTTCCTTAAAGTGTCTTATTTGGCAGAAACGGCAAAGATTTCGGCTTTTTTAAAGGAACAAACGCAAGAGAAATTTCTTGCTGTTTGGGATAAATGGATAAAATTTATACAATTTAAATTGGATATAAAAAAATATCACATAGCTTTTTCATAACTTTTATTTTTATATATATATACATATATCTCAGTGTTATATTTTCTTTTTTTATATATATATAACTTTTTAAATTCTTTTTTAATTAAGCCTATATTCTGCTCTGGGAAGCTCAGGGGGGGGGAAGGGGGTGGGTGTTTTGGGGGGGGGTCGGGGAAGGGGAGATTTGTTATGTCATGTTTAGCTTTTTTGTATATGTTGTTTTTCGTTTTTTTGTAAAAATTTATAAAAATTTTCAATAACAAAAAAAAAAGAAATAGATGTTTTTACATTACAGTACCAATGGGCTGTAATTCTTCATACAAAAATGCAATAAGCTTTTTTTCATGAAGATTACTTTTTGAATGAAGCAAAAACAATGACAAAAGAGAACTACAGTAAACATCTTGTGGAATAGTTTTAAATATCATGATGCATAGAATAGTAAAATATATACATGCCAGATTAGAATGCATGGCATACTGCAGTTTAGGGTAATACAGATATGGTTTTTAATTGACCGATCGATTGATTGACCATATGATTTTGGTCAAAATTTGAAACAATTTTTTCACACATACCTCAGCATTCCATACGCAAGAGTAGAACGAAGAGTTGTGGGCCCAAAATGTGTAATATTTCTTCTATGAAGACTCTCCTCTGTTAATGCAATCCCTACTATCACTTCATTATTGTGGATATTGAGAAGAACCTTGAATAAAGCAGATTAATATTGGTTAGGTGTTAATAATAATTATTATTAATTCACTCCCACCAACACTGATAGGGCAAGCCACTAGAATATAAACTGAGAGCAAACTCTACTTCTTACTAGATAATGTTACCTAGTTTGGATAATGAAACATCTGCAAGAAAACAACCAAGCTCAGAGAGCACCAAGGATCCCTCATTTCCACCCTGAATTACAAATATTCTCCTTTATTCTATGGGATGTATTACACATGTAAACAGAGCTGAGTTCTGGGGATTAATGGTAGGATATTGTGCTGTTTGTTTCTGCTGTAATGGACAATGGAACTGAGAACTAGAAAAAAAGTCAAGGATTATGGCTAATCCAATTCTGAATTAATACCTTTCTTCTGGTAATTGTCTAATCTTCAGACCATATTCAGAAGTTATTGATTGGGATTGAAGCAATGAACCTCTAATTCATATAGTTTTCTCTATTCTCTCCTATTGTGAAGAAACGGAAAGTTTCATTTCTGTTTCAGATTAAAATGTATTTGTGTGATTATTATGATCTACATCAGGCATGTCCAACCATGCAGTCCTGGACAGCTAGTAATACGACCCTACAAGGTTGTAAACATTTTAACATTATTATATTTTTATATGTGGCCCAAGACAATTCCTCTTCACTCAACGTGGCACGATAAGTCAAAAGGTTGGACATGCCTGATCTAAATCAAAATAACTACGATTACTAAAAAAATATGTTACTTGAAATATAGCTGTTTCATACCTAATTGTTTGCAATTAGTCTATCTGAAATAATCAAAATTATCCAATAAAATATAAGATAAAGCATAGTGCAGCATTATGTTAGAAATCAACATTGCATCAGAGAGAAGTGGGAGGCCATAGGCTGAAGGCTTAATGAAATTCACTCCCATAACGGTAAATCATGGTTTATAGTATTTAGTTTATAGATGCCCATTGCTCAGATATTATAGTCCATAAAGTTTATAGTCCATAAAGGTAGATCTTATAGTCCTTGACTTATGACTGTAATTGACCCTGGAATTACAGTTGAAATTCATGCCAGCAGTTAAGGTCACCATATGACTGCCTGATTGCCAGACCTTTTCTGCAGATATTGTTAAGTGAACACCATGGTTAAGTGAATCCATTGCTGGGAAAAGTAAATGCTAGTTTCAAGGAAAAAACAAAGTAAATTATGGTCATGTGACTGCAGGGTGCTGCAAATGGCTATACATGAAGACCAGTTGTTTGGCAACCAAAATGCAATTATGTGACAGGGAGGCTGTCACAACCTCAAATCTGGGAAAATCCATTGTAACTTCGAACAGTCACTGAGCAACCGATTGTAGGTTGAGGACTATACGTATTGTGTTTTAAACTGTTCTTCCCACTGAACATACAAGAGGAGACTTTTAAAGAACGAATGTTACCTCTATATCGAAATTAGTCATATCTGCTTTCCACTGAAAGAAGTCCTGTACAGCTCCTCCAAAATCTCTTGCTGCTTCATCTGATTTAAAGTTGTGATTATCACCAGCTCTATTGCAAGTTACGCGGAACTTCAGTGTTTCAGCTTCCATTTCCTGTTTCTTACCATCACCTGATTCATTTTTGTTGTCACCATTGGATGTTAATTCTTCTCTGGGTTCAGACTGCTTGTCAGCATCCGATGGTACTATTTCATCAGCATTTTCTGGGTCTGGGACTTCAGCAGATTTGAAATCATTTTGTGCAAGTGTTTGCAATTCTTCATTTCCTTCTTGGTTCTTGTTCTTATCTAGCTTCTCCTTCTTTGCATGACCCTGATGGTTGCCCTTATTTCGTCTAGTTTTTCTTTTCTTAAGGCTTGAATTTAACTTCCATACTTCCAAAGAGTTGGTCCAAGGGAGATCCTTAACCAAATCTTCTAAATCCTTTAAAGCTTCTTCCTATAGGAATTTAATAACAGTTCTGAGACAAACTCATTGTATACAGTTGCATATTTTTTATAGTTCAGAAAATGAATTCATTTTTGGAAAGCAGTGGATGGTCTGCTGATACCTGTATGTTTTGTCACTTCTGATTACAGCTGGCTTCAGGAATGTTCTCCAAATAAATGTTTAGCTGTTACCTATTAGGGACAGGGTCTTTTTAACTGGGCGCAAAGAATACAGACTGCCTCTCTGAAGACCACATGTTAAGTAGTTTCAAATGATTCTTAAAATGTGAGTTAAATGGCATTGTTTTGGAGTCTCTTTTATCTTTTAATGTCTTTTTTTAGTTACAGATGGTTATTCTCTCTATTTTTAGCTATTTATGCTTTTTGTTTCTATATTGTTTTGATATTGTGCACTAAGCATCATTGATTTTTCTCTTAGAGAATGGTGAGCTGTATTTCAAAGAAGAGGCTCTATTCCTGCAGTTCAAATCAATGCCCTCTGAGTCTTCATTTTTATAAAAATCAACATAGTCTTGAAAAAATAACTGCCTAAGTTGTTCATTTTGCTCTTCCCTCTCTACTTGCACAGTATTTATTGGACTGAAGGTTGAGAAATAGAGATGAGATTTCATAAATTTCAGAAGCTTTGGAGAATGGTAAAGTATCAATAATAAATAATACAATAATACAATAAATAAATATTCTCAAACCCCAATAATTATTGAACTATTTTTGTAATTTAAAATTTGAATTTGCTTAGAATTATGGAACAAAAAATAACTTACCTTAGTTTCTTTAAACTGATAGTCTTTGAATTCTTGAACAACGACAAATAAATTATCAACTGATCTTAGCTGGTGAACCTGTTATGAAATTACAAATTCTTATTTCACATGACATATATGTATAGTACACAGTACAATTTTAGTTTTTACAGTTTCAAAAGTATACAAGCTAAAACTGCTGCATTCCGTACTATTTTTTTTAATGAAAAGTTCTATTTAAAAAGTAGAACGTAAATCTACTAAATATATTTAAAAATATTAGCTGGGATATATGCATTGCAACCTTATAAAATTTGGTATAATTTGCTATACTCTATCAATACCAGCTTGCCTGGCTTCAAAAATGTTTGGATCAGTTCAGGGAAGTCATGGGGATCAGTGTAGATTAGCTTTGACTGCCTCTGAAGGCTATTGGCTGAGAAATTAATAGTTGCAGTTGGTTGGCTGCTGTAAGGACAGACTGCTGAACTACAGTAGTGGCCAAAATTGTGGAAACCTTTTGGGAAAAGTATATTTTTGATGTTTGATGACTAATAACACCACTTTTTTGTGGAGTAGTACCATAAAATTATATATCAACAGAAAGATAATTTAATCAAGAATGTAATGCAACAAAGTTTATTCAATTATCTATATTGTATTCTATGAAACATTATAGCCAAATAACCAGAAAAGGGAAGCACAACTTGCTTAGGTTGATATCTGGTAGCTTTCCTTCATCTGATTGTAGCCAATGAGCATGAGTGTTTAGAGAGCCAATCAGGTGTCATCTTGTTTTGGCAATGAGCCAATCAGATCACAGTAGGATTCGGTTATTGATGTCATGTATTGAAGCTGAGAGGAGGACATTTATCAGTGTGTTATGTGATCGCTATCAAGTTGGTTGGGGTTTTTTTGTGTTCTTTCATTTAGTGTGCTTGTAAAATGTAATAAAATTAAAGTAATAGTGCAAAGAGTTGACTGGTTGTCCAGAAAGCGATGTAAAATAGTATTATTAAGTGAACAAGGCTACAGTTATAAGAAATTAGAAGAAAAATTGGTGGAAACTTAACCAAAGGTGGCATTTCTACTGCATACTTTTCCCAAAAGGTTTCCACAATTTTGGCCCCTACTGTATATGGATTGGTGGTCCGATCCATCTTGTGTTTATAGTCTGTTCTTAATCCACTCATTGTGATTTGCAGCTATCCAATCTAGTTTTTACAACAAACTATGATAAAACAACATATGATTTTAGTAAAGAGTATGAATCAAGTCCCAGCATGTGAATTCAAGATTGTCCAGTGAAATATTATAGAATATCTTGCCAGAAGCTGGAATGAATATTAGGCTATAAATCTGAAATTTGTAGCCATCAGGAATATGTACATCTGGGTAACCTCAAGGAATATTGCAGCCTCAGACCAATATTCAAATAGCAAATTGCAAAATAATAAAATTTTCAAACCTTTGGAAGATTTATAACCGGAATTTCAAAGTAGATCTTCCCACGGCCCTTGCTAATTCTAGATTTTGATCCTAATTTTTCTTGTACTTCATCCGCAGCAGTCAGCTCAAATCCAGTTGGTATAGTAGCTCCAATAGTGATCACAACATCTTTAGGATTCTTTAGGCCTTCACTATCCTCATCTAATGGTGTACTTGCGTCACTGAGGTTCACTTCAGATAACACATCAGCAGCCTTTGCAACTTCAGACATTCTGGCAGTCTGGTAGTTTTTATAGACCTACCATAAAGAAAATACAAATAAATAAGGAAATATAAAATAACAATTAAAATAATTGTTACAGTCTTTGAAACAGGAGTAGAACCCAAAGCAATAGAAGTTCTTATATTTTTACCTGTGTAAAATAATGTGCTTATTAACACATAGCATATCTAGGTGGTGAGGTGAACGTTCACAAGGGGGAGAGTTTCTTCTGTGGTGGCACTCCAGTATGGAATTCCATTCCCAGAGAAGAGTCCACATTAGCATCATTTTGCTGTTAGGCTTTTAACTGTATATCTTAATTCATACTGTTTTAATTTTTGAAAGACCACTTTGTTTCTACATAGTTTACATGATGCTTTTACTTTGTACAGGTAGTCCTCACTTAATGATTCTGTTTAGTGACCATTCCAAGTTACAATAGTGCTGAAAAAATAACTTTACAACCAGTCTTTCCATTTAAGGCAAACACAATGTCTCTACAGTCATGTGATTGAGATTTAGGAACTTTGCAATCAGCAAGTATTTACAACTGTTGCAGTGTCCCACAGTCACACAATCATCATTTGTAGGCTTTGTAGCTGGCGTCCAACAAGCAAAGTCAATGCAGAAGTTGGCAAGTCGTGGTCATGCTTAACAATCATGGAGAAATGCTTAATGACTGCAACGAAAAGTGACATTGTCACTTGATGTCGGAGCTGTCAGTTCCAATTGTGGTTGTTAAATGAGGACTATTTCTATTTTACTTGATTTTGTGTATATATTTTTATTCAGATTGTATTTTTAGTGTGTTTTATTATAAATCACACAGAGTGCTTTGGATATTGGTTTTAAAAATTTAATAAATAAAATAAATATCTTGACCTAGCAGATGAAAAACTGAAACATGGAATGTGAGAAGAATAAATGATGAACATAAATTAATAAATGAAATGAAAAACATATTTCTGTGAAGAGAAAAAAGGTGCTAATTTTATGGAGCTGATGCTGCTAAGTATAGGGAGTCTTCAAATTATGACCATTCATTCAATGACTGAAATTAGATGGTGCTGAAAAAAAATGGACTTGTGACCATACCCAAAGTTATGGCTGTTGAGAAATAAACTGATTTCCAGTAAATGTTAAATTGTATAATACAATGAGAACTATGGATCTGAAAATTTATGTATTAAAAAACAGGGTATTAGGTGTCATGAAGTCTGTTGTAAGGAATAAATTCTTGTTGGAAGAAGCAAAAATACCTATATATAAAAGTGTGCCCTTGCCCACATTCTTTTTTTTTTTTAATTTCAGAATAAAGATAAAAATCTGGATGTAATGGGAATGGATTACTTTATGTTCTAAAAAAAAATTAGGACAGAGTGGAATGCAAATATGGACTAAGTATAAAAGCACTTGACTGTACAAAAGAAGCTTCTGTGCTTCTGTCATACTATGCAGAGAAAACAATGAAGATGCAACTGCAAAACAGGCATATGAAGAAAAAATGGATTGGTACAGATGAAAGATCAAGAAAGTCCGGATGGAGGAAACTAACAAAATCCTCAGAGAGACATTTTAACAAAAAGTGAAACAAGATCAGTCTGCAAGGGCAGGGAGACACAAGGATGAAAGATGCTGATCTCTCATATTCACTTTCTTAGCTATCCTTATTTCTTATCCCTATTCTGGACTTTGAATAAAAGTGCTTACCCCCAACGGGCAATATACCGTGATTGGCACGTACCTCGGTATGATGACCGGGCTGCTTTGGATTTTTCAGCCAAATTTAAAGAACACCCACACTAAAAGTGGGTAGCTTCGGAAAAGGCTCTCCCTTCTCGCCCAGTCTGCCTGCTGCCCTCGTCCCCTGTAAAGCGAGAATCTGAGACGGAGCGGGAAGAATGAATCGCAGCTACGCCGGGCGGAGCCGAGGCCTGCGCGAAGCGCCTTGGCTTTCACAGCGCCGCCTTCCCTCCTAGCGCCTCTGCACGAGGAATCCCCAACCTCTCTTCCGGAAAAAGGAGAGGGGCGGTGCGCGGAGGCTTCCTGACGAAAGAGTCCACGAGACGAGCGGACGTTGACTGGCGGAGAGAGCGCCGCTTAGCGTGCGGTTCCTTCCACTCGAAGACTGGATTCCACGTCTCCCCGCCTGTGTTGCCATAGCATCCCAGCGCGAGGATTTCAGAAGGGCGGGGCATATGGCGCCTTGATTCCTTGCTGCAGAGCGAAAGGAAGACTTGGGCTCTTTCCCTAGGTTGCAACGGCATCAGCATCCGGGCTATTTTTTTTTTATTAGGGCGCTGGCCCTTAGCAAGGAAACTTAGTGGAAAATTAAAATGTTTTTGTTATGCAGCAGAAGGCAGCTCTTTTGTGTTTAGGCCTCATGCAATAGCTGTGTGCATGTGCAGAAATGAAAGTGTGCAGTAAAAGAAGGGAGTAAAATGTGAAACTTGATTAGGCCAAGCTGGAACCTGAGAAAGATTGCCAGGGAGAGGAGGAAACTCTGTGGGAAGAATCCAGAGAAAGAAATATTTTGGGAAATATTAAAAAGGCAGAATATATTTCCCCAAAGAATCTTAAAGGCAGAAAAGCAATCCCAGTTTTTCTTAATAGCCCCAAGCAGAAACTCAGCAGAAACCAGTTTTTAGAAATGCAGATGTAGCAATCCAGTCAGGAAGGTTGGAGCCAGGAAGCTAGAAGAAACTGATGAAATTAGGAAGACAAAGACGCCTAAAATCTACATACCCTCACCCAAACTCTAAGGACAGGAAACATAATAAGATTAACCCACCAGTACCAAAAGGGCATGTTCAGACTTAGGTCAAAGTACATGACACAGAAAATACAAAGCCTCAAACAGGAACAGGAAACAACCTCAAAAGCCCAAGAAGGTATAAAAACCCATCACTCACAGCAACTTGTGGTCAGCTTTCCCAGAGCCATGCTTCGGTCTGGCTCTGCCCTTCAATAAACTCCAAACTTCTTTCTAAAGCAGTCTCCATTTTGTTTATTCACAGCTTGGCTGGACCCTGATGAAGTTTTTTTTATTTCAGTAACTCAAAGAAGGGATCCTAACAGAACTTTCAAGAATCAACAACAGAGTAAGGATGGGATGCATGACTGAATAAATAATACATCTAATGTTACTTGGTTCTGTTCTGCCACCGTTTTCTATAGAGACACTAAACAGTCCCCAGCCGCTGCCCCTTATTGAATAAAAAGAAAAAATAAAGGTCTAGTGCACTGGAAATTCTTAAGTTTTAGCAAACTAACAGGTCAACTTTCAGCCTCAAATTTCTATGTCAACTTCTGTTTTCTCCTCCACTCCATTCTGTTTACCATCTTTCATGTCTGTCTCTTCTTTGCATCCTGTGCTTCATATTTTCCCAAAACAGTTCTTTAGACCTGAGTTATAGAAATCCTGTATGGAGGTTACAAAATGCCTGCCAGGATCATTTCTGGCATTCACCCCCCCTTCCCCCAAGTGGGCAGAATCAATATTTGGATCTCCTCCCATTTTGGAGCGATTTAAGGAACAATTCTATTACCAATTCTATTGTAGGAGGACAGCATCCTCCCCAGAGAAAGAAATATTTTGGGATATTAAAAAGGCAGAATATGATATTTCCCCACAAAGACGAGGGAGTCAAGCTATTTTCCAAAGCGCCTGAAGGCAGGACAAGAAGCAACGGATGGAAACTAATCAAGGAGAGAAGCAACCTAGAACTAAGGAGAAACTTCCTGACAGTTAGAACAATTAACCAGTGGAATAACCTGCCTCCAGAAGCGGTGAATGCTCCAACACTGGAAGTTTTTAAGAAGAAACTGGACAGCCATTTGTCCAAAATTGTATAGGGTTACCTGCCTGAGCAGGGGGTTGGACTTGATTACCTCCAAGGTCCTTTCCAACTTCATCATCCTCATCATCATCATTATTATTATTATTGCAGAAAGGCAGGCCCAGTTTTTCTTAATAGCCCCAGGCAGAGGCCAGGTCTGTAGAAATGCAAATTTGATAATTCCATTCAGAAGGACTCAGGCCCCATTCATGAGCAAATACTATTAGGCAAAAGCCCATTCAAGACAAGATATTTTGAAATCTCTTGCAGCAAAACTGATAGCTAACAATAGCAGAGTGATAGAATTAGAACCAGCAACCCCTCACCCAAGAAATCCAACACAGGAAGTAAGCCAGCAGTCCCAGCCTCAGTGAAGCAGGGCATGACCTTTAGGACCTAATAGGATTAACTCACCACCATCAAAATATCAAAAGGACATGCTCAAAAGCTCAGGTCAAAGTTCATGCCACAGGAACAGGAAGAACAACTCCAAACACAAAAGCCCAAGAAGGTATAAAAACCCACCACTCCCAGCAATATGTGGTCAGCTGCTTCAGAACCTCATGTCTTGTGGTTCTGCTCTTCAATAAACTACAACCTTCCTTCTAAAGCAGTCTCCATTTTGTTTATCCCCAGCTTGGCCTGGCCCTGATGAAGATTTTTCTTTCAACATTATCTTAGCCCGTAGAATTCCAGAGATCCTCTTTAAAAAAAGACCTCAACGTTGGCAAATGGCCTTCAAGTGGGGACACACAATCTGGTGTTGTCCCTGCAAAGCCAAAATTTGTATACCTGCATTTTAGGCTATTTAACTAGTGTTAAGTGTAATATCACTGAGTTTTCTTAAATGGAAGCATGGTTAGGTGAAATGGTCCAGGCTTAGAGTTCTAAGTTGAAAGAATCGGGATGATGGTAGGTGGCAGCAAATAAAACAAGTGGATTTCATAGCTCTTTGCTGCCATCTAAGAGCTGGATTTACATAATACACTGAACCACAAACAGGAAAGCCACTTTAAGCCAGTGTTCTCTTCAAGTTGCTGAGGTGTTTCTCAACTTCAGCAATTTTAAAATAACACTGAGGCACTAGATAAAATTTGAGTGTCTGTATAAAGTTAGTTTCTTTTTTTGCTTGTTTAAATTGTCTATAATTCTACTTGTCTACATGTTCTAACTGAATAGGTTGGAAAAATGCAGAAGAGGCCTTCATCCTGGAGTGGATAGACAATGGCTAAAATGATGATGAATTCTACTTTATGCACAGATCTATTGGCTTAAGACTGAAGTTTACATTGTAGTTATATCTACCTGGAGAGGGAGAGGAGTACATGAGATTCCTTTGGGGACTATTAAGGAGGACAGTAAAATGACTAATGACACCTTAAATGGAACCTCTATAAATCTGCTATTGAGCCAGTTGCCTATCCAGTGGATGAGTCAATTTTGTATGCATAGAATGAGAAAGAATTCAGCAATGTATTCTAATTAAATATACAAGCAGATTATTTCATTGTAACACTAGGTTTTAAAATGTATTGTTTACTGAATCTCTCCTGGTGCATTTTACTAAAGTAGCTTTTTTATCCACAGCAGGAATGGGCAATTAATTTTTCCAAGGCACCACATGTTATGGAGGGCCACCATCCCCCCGCATTGATATCCCTCCCTTCCTCCCAATACTGCAGGTTGGACAGAGACAGCCGAAAGGCTGGATGTGGCCCATGAACCATAAAATGCCCAGGTCTGATCTACAGGGTATTAGAAAATAACTCATTTCTGGGAAAGATTTGGCAGTTTGAGTATTGATGAACCCCACTGCTCTTCAATAATGGTACCTCCAGATTTGGGTTGTTAATTTTGGATGTCCATGTTTGTATCTGGTAATAAATCTTAAATTTCTCCCTCACCCTTGCCTCTCTGGGCTAAATTCACTTTTTTCCTAATGGCTGCTGATATGTTCTTCAAGGCTATCTCCCTACTCCTCTACAAAAAGAAACTTAATATGAAGTGGATAATTTTTAAAATATTGTGACGAAGAGAGAATGTCAAGGTCCATGAGAGACAATAGGCTTTTCTGGGATGAGAAAGAGAGGCAAGAGTGAGAGCCGGGAATTAGTTTTCACAAAAGCAACTTTTAATCTTCTAAAAAGGGTTTAGAAGGATCCCTTCTACAGTAGTTGTGGTTGATGCACATATGTCATGTTCCTTCAATAATGTTTTGGCTGTTTAACCCCCTGCATTAGTTTATATTTTTTTCTTGCAAGAATTTAATTCTGGTTGTTTTCTCATACTTGCCATACCATTGATTGTTTTAACTATGGTTTGTGTGAACAAGATACAGTGGCTGGGTCAGAATAATACTATAAGCCAGGCATGTCAAACTACCAGTCCCTGGGCCAGATATGTCTCGCCAAAACTGCGCTCAGCCCATTGTGGGCAATGGGGAAAAAGGCGTGATATGTCATGTGATGTCACGTGATGTCGCGAATTTGACATGCCTGCTATAAATAATGTCTTAGAACTACTCGAGCCAGAGTGACTCAACTGAACAACTTACAACTTTGTGTTTGGAGTGAAGCCAGCCATGGACTTTGGTACAATTTTGTCTATCTGACTTTGGTTTTAGCCATTTACTCAGTCCTTTTGGTCAACTCAAAAAATAGGTAACTAGAGTTGCCCTATTACATTTTTTTTGCAGTCTCGATGAAAAGGGTTGCACCAATGTGAGGAGAATTACAATCTGAACATACATCACAATTAGCAGAATAGCAATAGCAATAGCACTTAGATTTGTATACTGCTCCATAGTGTTTTACAACACTCTTTACAACACATTTTTGCAATGTCAGCATATTGCCTCTAATAATCTGAGTCCTCATTTTACCAACCTCAGAATGATGGAAGGCTGAGTCAACCTTGAGCCAGTCAGGATTGAATTCCTGACTGTGAGGAGAGCTAGCTTGCATTCTAACCACTGCGCCACCACAGCTCAATGTAGGTTCACTGTGTTCGGATCCAAAGAAAATCTAAGTTTCTATTATTTTTGGTTTTAAGTTAGTATTGAATCTTGATGACTACCTGGACCAGTCCCTGCAGTTTCCCTGGCAGGATTTTGAGACATGGTTTGCTATTGCTGCTTTCCTAGGGCTGAAAGAGAGTGACTGACCCACAGTCACCCATCTGCCTTCGATGCCTAAGATAAAAATAGAA